ATTACTTGCATTTGCAGTGCATTACCTGTGCATGTATTGTTTACATATTATATGTGTGTGTGTGTGTGTGTATGCATGTAGTTTCCTGGTTTATGTGTTTGCACATGTATGTGAATGGTGGCCATTAGTGATATATTAACTGACACCATAACTGTCAGTGAAAGGTTTTAGACCTGTATTGATGATAATGTAAGATAATTAAATATGTTCAGTGATATCATTTTTAAAGGGTTGTCTTGGAAATGCTTATATACTATCTAGAAAATATAAGTCAAGGGAAGTCTAAATACTTGCGTCTTACTTATCTTATTATTTGATTAGATAAAATCAGCAATGCTCTTTTGGAATGCTCTTCTAGACATTTGGACATGTCACAGTAGGAAAAGCACAAGTGTAAATCAAAATAATGATGGCTGAATTCCATTTAGCTGCTTCAGTTTCAGAGTCCTGGTTGTGCATGTTGGCTCGCTGGCATTTGAATAGTACAGAGCCATCATCAATGTTATAAGTAACATCTTTGCTTTTCCTACAATGACAAGTCAAAATGTTGTGGGAAAAGGCCTGTACTACCTGTAATAAAGGCCCAGTCAGTTGTTTTAACATAAGTGAAGAAAAAGTCTACATTTCTCAATCTTAATAGCACTAACAGTGATGTTTCTATTTAGACAAACATTATTGATGTAAACAAGAACTGAACAATATAAGGTTGCATTGTTAGATTAGTTTTAGTTGTCTAGTGTCCCTGTATGGAAAGACCTGTCAAGCAATTTCTAGTGATGGGAGTTTCCAATTGTGTGTTTTGGATTTACATTTCATCGGATCACCGATTCTGCTTTTAATGAGAAACTGGCACCAAGGACAACAAAACTAAAATTCTAAATGCCCACATCTGCACCTAAAAGTTATAATGTTTGTCAAACACTATTGGATAAAAGTGTTGGACAAAACAAATAACAGACATTATTTTGCTGACAGAAAGATTTGAAGGGCTCAACCTCTGGTGAGCATGAATATATTTAGTAAATTTGACGGCAGCTACCCATTAAACTGATGATACACAGAGCAACTTTTAGAGCAATCGTGTAGGGCAACATTGCTGTCAATGGTAATGAGTAAATCCCCTTTCCCCACCACTCCGCCACCCGCCGTTCAAAACATAGTCAGACTTGCCACTAGCAACATTGCCCAGCAACACTGTTCAAAAAGTTCCCCCGTGTATCATCAGCTTTAGAGTTTGATATTGCCTGTGTAAAAGTGATAATGTTGGTCTTAAGGTGAAACCAGAGGAAAGGTCTCGGGGTAACCAAAATATTAGGACTCATCCTGTGAGGGCCAATATCCTTAGGGCCTGCCACCACCGGGATAAAAAGTCCATAATTATGATAAACTGATAAAATCCTCTGAGAATAAACTGCTGTGACAAAAACATGAGGTGAAGAAAAACATACAAAGATGGCTAACTGAATACCTTATTACACTTATGTATATTGCAATTTAGTTGCAAAGTGGTCATGTGTGTACAATTAATGTATGCGTTATAACCATAGGTTATAAATAAGTGTCACTGTAATTTAATATTTATTGTAATTTCAGTATTGAAGGTATTTCCTGCATATTTTAGGCCCAAACTCTAGTATGCCCACAGGTTCAGAATACCTCCAGAACACTTCAAGTTCCTGTTGGGCTCATAGTTGCAGACTTTACTAAGTCCTTTTAAGTACTATTTTGGTTTTTATGTTAGTGTTCAAGCTGGGCTTTACTTGGAGGAGTTATGTTGAGATTAATTGCTAAGGTGTTTCTAGTAAGTTTCTGAAAAGGTTCTTGAAGGAAATACTATAACAATGATAAAAGCCAATATAATAATCACAGAATACAAAATAAATTAATTTTACAAACATAAATTATAGCATGCAGTTGTTACTTTTTAGTTTTTAAGCACACAAACAGAATAACAAGTTTTCAGTTAAAAATATAAATCCATTATTATGGTGATTACAGATTAATAATTGTTGAAATATACAGAAAAATACGCATGTATACATGTATTCTCTGTAAATATGACATGATGTAAAAATAGCAAAACTACAGAGTAGCCAACTTTTAAAAGGTTTTATAAAAGGAAGTAGGCTAATGATGCTTATTTGACCAGGCAAGGCAGCCACTAAAGCATCTACTGTTACAAATACTACCACCTTTATACTAACTTCTACTTTAATTTTCAAGCCAGCATCTTTTATGTCTGTATATTAAATCACTGGAGATTTGGAGAATTATTGACAGTGGTTCGCTTCCAATTCTGCTAAAACCTCAACTCCCATGATGCCTTGCCCGTGCTCAAGAAGTCACTAAGATGACGTCAAATGTAGGCGACCAGCCATGCCTGGTACCTGCGAAGATTTAGTTAAATAACTTCTGTCCAAATAGTTTAGCAGTTGTATGAAACATTTTATAGACATATAAGCCCATGTAAGTAGCCACGTAAAGTAATAAAAAGTGTTTTGCTGCGTAATAATCGGACAAACGTGCTATTAGCTCTATTAGCATTTAGCTTGCATTTAAGTTAGCAGCATGTGAGCTGGTCACACTTCTGTTTATGTTTTGACCAACCTGCTTATAAACCTGCTAGCTGAAACAATGTGCTCATAACAGCAGTATGCATTTTAAAGTGCTCGTCATTTCGCATGTTGGGCCTGATAATGACTTTGTGATCTCTTTAACAAATATTTGTAAGTTCTGGTTTAGAGACGTTTGTCTTGCTAAGAGATGAACCTTTTATTGTCTATTGTACGCCTTTTTTGTTAGACTCTGTGCTTAGGGCTTGATTTTATTGACACAGTCCTTAACCAAATAGTAAATTCAATGTAAATGAACATTTTCATATTGGTTGTTTCAGGCAATATTTAGGGATGAGAAAAGGTAGGGAAACAATTATTTCTACAACTCGGTAAGAGACATTATTCATCATCCATTGCAGTCAGATGTTACTGTATCACTTAACTGTAATGCAGTTTTTCATCCTTACATTGCAGCTCTGCCTGTGTCTGACCCTGCTGACCAACTGTTTTCTCATCTCTAGTGTATAGATATTGCTGTTGACTAAAAGTAAATGTTACAAGATGTACTTTCTGTAGTAGAATTAGAATTCTGGCTGCAAGTTGTAAAATGCAATCATCACTTTCCCCTGCAGAGCTCATAGAACAACAACTCTAAATAAGAAAGGATGCATCGACTCTGAGGCATTGATGATCCTCTCGCGAAGACAGGATGCCCTACCACTGTGTTGCATACGGATGCGGCAAAACTGCAGAAGACGGTGTGACACTGTTTAAATTCCCTAAGGACCCTGAGGAGTTTCACAAATGGGAGAAGCAGGTCCAGCGCACCCGTACCCAGTGGGTCGCCACACCCAACTCTCACCTCTGCAGCGAGCATTTTGGCAAGGAGTACTTTGAGCCCAGATCCTCCACAGGGGCTCTAAAGCTGAGGCCGGGAGCTGCTCCTACAGTGTTCGTCCGTCCGCACTGTTCCTCCTGCAGTGGAGTGGGCTGTAGTAAGTGCCTGCCTGCTATCCAGCGCCGGGGCATAACAGCTGAGCCAAGAGAGCGTACCAAGAGTGTGAGTAGTTATTGTCGTGGATCCGGAAATTGTTACTGCAGAGAGAAACAGCGAGTTTCTGTCATTCTTTTAACAAGCCTCTTGGTTGATGTAAAATCAGAGTCAAATTCTTGCTTCTTTTTTTTTAAATTCCTCGTCACAGGCAGAATACAGTGAAATGGCGCCCGTTCAGTTTGATGATAATGATGGAGGAGGTGACAAAGAACATCCGACAGCAGGAAGGGTGAAGCCAGGCGAAAAAAACAGAGAAGAAAGACCTGGTGAGAAGAAGTGTTGAGAGACAAAATGTCACTTTTCTGTCTGTTCACTGAAATGCCATTTTAACAGTGTGAGTTAGATGGTGTTGTATACAAAATGTATTTATTTATATTTTCAGTGGTGTGTGAGATGTGTGGCACCACTGGCAACATTACCACCTTCTTTTCAAAGACCAAGCGTTTCTGCAGTTTATCCTGTTCACGTTCCTATTCATCAAACTCCAAGAAGTCCTCCATACTGGCACGTCTGCAGGTAAGAAAAAGACAGAATGTTGCTGCCCACAGATCACACTTAACACACTCTTCATACAGACCTACTGGTGTTTGTTGTTATGACTTAACAATCTTTCAGTTCACTTGTTTTCAAGGAGAGCTTTATTTTTCACCCAAATGCTCCCGAAAAGCAAAAGTTTGTACTCCTTTTACATAATATACAGGTAGATAAGTCATTATTGTCTTATACCGGGAAAATTTGCTGAGGCACATCTGTTTTTGCATAAACTCACACACAATACAAAGAACTTGACAGTACAATCACACTCTTGTTGATTATTAGTATGTACTGTTGATCACTAGGCAGCATCACTGGGGCAGTTGTAGTTAATTGGTTTGCTTACTTAAATAATTACCCTAAGGTTTTGGGAGGTTTGATTACTCATTATGTGACAAGACATTTTCCCCTGAAAAAGTCCATTACGTCAGTTCTGTCTGACTAAACTGTCTGACTGTGGTGCAGCGGGTGTTGGAAAATTCAAGCACATTATCATTTATTAGGGAAAGTCCAGCCTGGTAAATGATGAATTTTCAACGCTGTATAAAAAGTACTAATGTTAGCGTATTGACTCCTTCCTCCACTCCTGCGATTTAGAGCCAATCATGGTCCGCGTTGGCAGCATTCATATTTCTAGCGCCACCCGATTAAAGTGGAGGCTCTGCCTTTATTTACCTGTTGCCATGGGGAATCGTAGTATCGGAGCTCCATTGATGATGGCTTTTTTTCATCCCCACGCACTCACTTCCATCAGGCTCAACATATGCAGAGTTGATTGAACTAATTCTGATCAGCTGTTCTGGAACCGAAAACTCAAGAGTTTCCCACCTCAGTCTCAATCAACCCAGAGCTCAATGATAAGCTCAGAGTTTGTTAAGCCTGCTTTCTGAAACAGGGCCCAGGTTAGTATCAAGTGTTAGTGTAGTTTTCCAATTCCATAGCTTCTTAAGTTTCTTAATTTATTATACAAAAAGTAGGTAGATATTTCGCATGATCATTTCTGTCTGCTGCTCCCCCACCACTGCTTGTGGATTGACAGAATCACAAATTGGGTACCACTTATGTAGGAGCAGTGACAGGGTTGTCTCTGTGACATCTCCCTTTCCTGGTCTTCATCCAGCTGTTCTTTATTTCCCAACTCATGTCCTCCCTCTTGAAGCACAGACAGAAGCTGCCCTTCTCTTCTTTTTCTTCAAGCTCCCTCACTGTCGTCTTTACCACAAGCACTACTGCCGCTTTTGTTCCCGTCCGTCTCAGAGGACTGTAGAGGCTCCCATAACGCTCCTGCATCTTTCTGTAGGCGTTTTGTGCAGCCAGCTTGGAGAACTTGGAGACCTTTTGCTCTTGTAAGCAGTCCTCAATCAGCAAATGTATACAGTATACTGCAGAATAAGCAATGGTGTATTTTGGAACCATTTCAATACAACAAAATCAGTGCCATATTGATGTTTTGGTGGTACACACTGTTGGCATTTAGAAAAATTCAAAAAACACTGTGAAAGCCATATTGTAAGACTTAAAGGGGTGAATAGCCTGTCACTGCTTGTTTCAGTACTGAAAAGCACCAGGATTCAGCCGTTTTTTGATTATTGTCGCTCCAGTGACGTACGTTTAAGAGAACATTCAGCCAAAAACAGAGCACTACTGTTCTATCCAGATTGTTTCAGTGTGATTTGTTGAGATTTTTACATTTCAGATGTAATTCTTAACACCTTAAAATCCACTTTTCACCGTTAGTTTCCCAAAAAGTAGTTTTATGGTTGGAAAAATCATCCTATTCCAAACTTTTGTGCAGGATCATATATTCCCTCTAGGTTCTATAGGCAGCAGCTAACAATTTGTTCATATTATTAATTAACCTCCCAATTCTTTTCTCGATTAATCAGTGAATCTTGAATGTCAGAAAAATGTGCAAAATGTCCGAAACAATTTCCTTTCTCATAAGAGAAATAAAAGCAGTAAATCTCACAATTGAGAAGCTGGAAATGAAAAAATAACTGAAATTGTTAATCCATTATTAAGTTTCTGTCACTTGACTAGTTGTTTCAGCTGCAGTTGAAGCTAAATGATGTTTACACTGAGTGTATTATTCAAATCCAAGACTCTGCACCATGTCATCAGATTTTCTTTCTGTGGAAGGAAACCAAGAGACGTTTATGTTTAGGATGTTACATTTATACACTTATTGTTGGTGTGTATTTAAAGTCCCATAAATTATAATTACGAACAAATGGTGGCGCGATTTCGCAGAAGGCTGACAGCCGTCGCCATTGCAGAAAAAGGGTGTGAAGAAGAAGAGGACCGCGCTGGACTTGAAATCATTGTACCGACCTGAGAGGCTGCCCCCGACTCATTTCACTCTTTAAATCAACGTCTATCAACGTATATTAAAACAAATGGTTCACACGTGTTGCGTTGATGCATGCTGCAACACAAAACGGCCGAACCTCGTCTTTCATCGGTTTCCAGTCGGTGACCAGGGGAGACTGTGGCAATGGCTGTTTGCGCTCAACATGGATGTAAACACGCCGCTGCACATTCTCAACAAGCTGTTCGTCTGCCAGAAGCACTTTCAGCCGGACGACTACTACGACCCCTCTGGTGTGCCGAGCCGCCGGGCCCGGCTCCTCAGGGCCACCGCTGTCCCCACTATGTCCAGACACACGCACACACCTGAGACAGGTGACCCCGCCGCCAGTACTATGTACCTGGATCAGCTGGTGAGTTATGAGCATACATGTAGGACAGGACCCGCAAAGCAACCAGTAATAAACCTAAAACAGCAGATTTCCCTCCATTTTGAATGGTAGTTAATGTGAAAAATACGTTTCAACAAGCTGAATCTGACATCACAGCAGCATAAAATATGTTTTTTTTTATTTCCTCATTTTATTATTTCTGAAGATTTATTACTATTAACTTGGAGCTGACTTTTCTCTGTACATCATTAAATATAACATTTTTATACAGGATCATTTTGTTGCACAACCATATGTACAAAAAAAACAGTACTCAGAAATGATTTGTTGATTAAACGATTAGTCAATGATATAAAATGTATTGGCAACTATTTTGATAGTTGAGTCTTTGTTGACAGAATTCACGATTCTGACTTTTTTTTTTTTTTTTTTTTTCAGTGCTCTATAATAGTAAACTGAAGGTCTATGAGTTTTGGACTAATGGACGGACAAAAGAAGCTATTTCTAAACACTGGCTGTGGGAAAACTTGATGTCATAGACCTAATGATGGTATTGATTGATTGAGAAGGTTATCAGCAGATTAATTGATAAAGAACACTATGCTTAGTTGCAGCCCTACTCCAAACTAAGTATAAGTAATAGTATACTTATAGTATAGTTGTAATTTGTTGTATGTTTTGTATGTCTCTTGGAAATATGTGACTGGAAATATTACTAACATGATTGGAAAACCAGAAATATGCAATAAACATTTGCCAACTTTTGATCTTTCTTTCTGTGAGAAGTTTTGTAGGAAGAGAGTCTCTCTTAAGTCCCAAAGAGTTTTTGACAAAGTATTATTGGATTGTATGTGTAATGGCATTTTAAAGCCTTGTATTCACTTTCAGTCTTCTCTTTATGTATCAAAAAATGTAACCATAATATGTCAAATTTCTACAAGGTCTTCACTTTGTCAGCAGTAACTTAATCTGACTCAGTACTCCCCTCCTGTGCAGTATATGCCAACAGTTTAAAAGAACTCTCATATGGCTAAAGTGCTACAACTTGCTTCAAGTGGTAAAATGATAAAACGAAACAAACAAACGACTATGGGACGACTTTGCACCATCTTTCCTTGTGCTTATCTCTCCAGGGAAAGCCCCCCTCAAAGAAAGCCACGGTGCTAAACAAGGTGAACAAGGCCCCTCCAGCCCCAACTGGACCGGATGGTGAGGGCACTGAACACACACAGAAGTACACAGGGGATCTAAATGACTTTACTGCAGTACAAAATCAGATGTCATGCAGGCACGAGTAGTAAATCTTGATACAGCGCAAAATCTTACATCAGCTGTGTGATTCCTCGATGAATTCTTTTTCTATAGTATCTGCTGCAGGTTTTGATTGGGGTGCCTACTTGGAGAAGGAAACATCTCTGGCTGCATCAGTGTCCTGCTTCAGACATGTGAGTCCTCCTATCTGCGTCATTATAAACCATGTTTTCTCTCAGTTAATAAATGTGATTCATATGATTTAATATTGTTGTAGGGAAAATTATGCCAGATTATGTGAAAGCTTATACTTTCACACACAGAACGTTTGTAAATGGCATTTTCATCAGCATGAAAAACTTTACTCCAGCTCTTGAATGTGAGATGACACACATTTGTCAGTAGTTAAGGCAACAGTTTGATCAACCTTATTTGATTTTGAATAATTACTACATTAATGAGGAATAAATTCACAGGAAAAATGTGGGGAAAACGGACCAAGTAAGATATGAAAGGGTAAAATTCAGGATTTAATATATATGTTTAATATAGCTGTGGCAGGAGAAGAATGTGCATCAAAGAAAAAAACACAAGTTAAACACTTCAAGTAAACAGGGCATTGCTGATAATAACTTCACTGAATGTGGAGCACTGATGGATCTGTAAGGAAACATCTGGCCTCCCACCTGCAGGCTCCCCTGTGTGCCCAATGGGATGACATCACTGTAGGGATGAAGGTGGAGGTCCTAAACACAAACGCAGTCCTGCCCAGTAAAGTTTACTGGATTGCTACTGTCATCCAGATTGCAGGTGTGTACTGTATCTGTGTGTTTATTTAAGTAAGCCGTTACAGCATGGGATTGAGCAGTTGTCATATGTATTATTACACAAATTCCTTCCAGCAAGATTTACTCACGTTAACCAGCAAAGGCATTAAAGAGGAAGCATGCTAGCTAGATAACATGGATGTAAACATTGATGGGTTTAAAATACTAAAAACTTGAGTTGGAAATGGTTTATGAGTAAGGAAATTATTCAACACATTTTCTAGGATACACGCAGTGTGTTTGATGATAACAATAAATGGAAACATGACTTTTGTTTGTTTATAAGAAAACTCCACGGGGCACCTTTTAACACCATCTATAACAAAACTAAAGGGATAAAGCAGGCTAGCAAACATGAATTCAGACATGCAGGAGGTTAGCAATAATGCTTATTCATTGTGGTCCCTAGGCAGGTAACAAAAACATTACAAATAACCATATACTAAGGCTGGACAATATGGCCAAAAATATATGGCCACAATAAAAAGTTTCATATCTTTCGATATCGATAATTATCACGATAAGTTTCAAATCGTTATTTCTTTTGAGTTTAAAGGCTGATTTTTGCTCCTGAGAGAAAGTTGAAGAAACCTGATGGTTAATTGTGGTTTAAACATTTCTTTATGGTCAACACTTGATTTCAAACAGCGGATAACTTCTGAGGAAGAACATTCCAAACAATTATGATCAAATCTTTGTCAACAAATATGCATGAATAAAATTAAGTAACCACTTTTTTCAGTCCTTTTTCAACAAAATAAACATCTTAATTAAAAAAATTGATTCAAGTGAATAAAATCAAACATTTATTGAATATTTATTGAACATTTGTGATATTGTTATTGAAAAAAAAATATCGTGATAATTATCGTTTTATTATCAAGCCCTACCATATACACATGCAAATATACAATACACATGTAGAAGAGTGTTTCTCCGTCATCTCCGACTCCCACTGTGGCCATGGTGTCTCAAAGTGCAGCTCCAGGCTATTGGTAAGCTAGGCTGTCGTATTTGAAGTGTTGTGTTTTTTGTTTTTTTACCTCGGATGCATGCAAGTAGGCGAAGGGAGAGAGAGAGGAGAATCCTGCTTTTGATTTAGATTTTTGAAGGTCGAAATCAAAAGCTATACGTTTTTTAAAAATTACATTTCGTTTCTGAAACAGCATTTCAGCCATGGCACACTAAACCTCTCAATGTATACCCCATAACGACACGGTAAAAATAGACAACAACAATATTGCATTAGAATACATTTGGCTTAAGGGTTTCCCATAAAGAACCAGTGTAATCCAAAGCACAGTAAATCCATAATCATAAGAAACTGCTTCATGTTTAAGTTCTACAACCCAACATGTAATTCTAAATAAAAAAGTTTATATTTACCTAACATTTTGGCAATGCAGTAGGATTGATAGTAACTTAACTCTTGCCTTCCTCTTGTCTCCAGGATACAAAGCCCTGTTGAGATATGAAGGCTTTGAGCACGACAGCAGCCATGATTTTTGGTCCAGTCTTGTTTCGGGAGAGCTGAGCCCGATTGGATGGTGTGCCATGACGAGCAAGTTGCTGGTGCCACCACAAGGTGAGGATTCACACTCAAACCTGAACCACGCTGCAATGCAAATACAGAATGGCATTAACCAGGGTCACACTCATGTGAGCGAATAAAGGAATCACAATGTTCACTGATTATAATTTGACGATGTCGTTAGATGTGAAGCAGAACATCCCAGATTGGAAAGAGTATCTGATGGGAAAGCTGGTGGGGGCTAACACTCTACCTGTTGACATCTACCTGAAGGTAAAACTGGCTGCTGCCTGACAAAAGTGATTTGGCTTATCAGTGGTAACTGCCTAATCTGTCTTGAACATGTGACGAGTATAATGATTTCAGATTAAATGAATAGTTTAATTAACTAAACACATAATCAGCATCTCTTTTCCTCGGTCGCCTTCCTTCTGTCTTCTTCCTAGTTGGCAGAGAGCATGAAGACCTTTTTCAGAATAGGTATGCGTGTGGAGGTGGTGGACCCCAAACACGTGAGTCGGACTCGTGTGGCCATCATAGACTCGATTATTGGTGGCCGTCTGAGGCTGGTGTATGAAGACCAAAGCGACGCCCCTGAAAACGCAATCTCTGATTTCTGGTGCCACATGTGGAGTCCCCTCCTGCACCCGATCGGCTGGTCCAAAAGAGTGGGTCATGCCATTAAAGCACGTGGTAGGTTTAGGATTCAGGTTATCTATACATATTATTGATGGCATGCAATATAGACACACAGAAATTTAGGTAGGACACGCTGCCAAACACAGGTTTATTTACGGTGGGCCATTTGTGGATCTTGACAGGTATGGTGATTAAAGTATTCTAAATATCACAAGCCCTGAACTAAATGGATAAAACTAGATCTGTGCTATTTGTAATTTGACACTTGCCGTGGCTGGTTTCTTCCCACAGGTAGATTAATACTTCAAACTTTTAAATGCTTCTTTTTTTTAATTATAGGAAACAGTGCGGAAGCTGCTGCCAGTGGTTTGAGGGGTAACTGTGATAGTACGTTCCTGCTCTTTAAAAAGGTAAGGAAATTCAAAAAGCAACACCTGCTTTATATTGTAACCCTTGTTTTATTACCAAGCTGTCGTTCTTTGCAAACCTTGACAGTAAATCCACATTTGATAACAGTGCAATTTAGGAAATAATTCAGTTGAAGTTCTTTTTACAGACTTGTAGTGAGATCCTGAGTTTGATATTTTCTTTTTTAGACTCATGACTCGGCCACTAACACTTTTTCATTGACTGTGTCCTGCTGTAAAATCTTTACAGTGTATATGTGCTTCACTCCAAACACCTAAAGCAAAAATGGCTTGACAAGTTTAAGATGATGATGATGATGATATATTTAAGGACGTAACCAGCGCACGTTATAGTAGCGTTTCACTATTGATAGAGAGTTTAGCCTGGAACTGAAGAAATATGTTGAAAGTAATAGAAATACTCTCAATTCTCAGCTCTGTATTTTGGTCCCATCTGACAATCACAGCTCACTGTTTAATGACAGTTGACGTCAAAGTGAAATGAGTAATAGTGAATTTGGGTTATGTAACGATAATCTGCACTCACTACCTATTGAAAGTCACGCTCTACATAGTGCCGCTTTAGCGCAGCTCTTAAACAGCCACTGTGTGATCTGCAGCCCAGGTTTGTCTACATGGAGGGAAGTTTCTTTGAGGAAGGAATGAAGCTGGAGGCCATTGACCCTCTCAACCTGGGAAGTATCTGTGTGGCCACTGTACACAAGGTAAGACATCTATTTCCTGTACCTAAATTTTTCTAATCTTGATCAAACCTAATCAGACAGACCAGATTAGAACAATTAGGTGTAATGGAATATAAATTCCATAACTGACTATAGATGTCACAATCATCTAGTTGTGTTAAACACACTAATTCCTACATTGTTGTCTCTGTTTTCATCTGTTTCCCCGTTTGTCTCTGCCTCCCTCCCTCCACTCCTCCCAGGTGCTGTTAGATGGCTACCTGATGGTGGGGATCGATGGCACCATATCAAACAACGGCTCTGACTGGTTTTGCTACCACGCCTCATCTCATGCCATCCTTCCTGTAGACTTCTGCAAAAAGAACAACATCCCTCTCACGGTACCCCAGGGTAAATATAAACATGCCTCTTAGTTCAGCCTCTGCTCCAGCTCACACTTTGTCTCTTTGCTTTACCATCCTGTTCTTGAAAGATGTTGAAGAAGATGGAAAATAACTCGAGCACTATACTGTTGATGAAAAGATTTCCTGTTTTTTCTGTCTTGGCAGGTTATGACTCTCAGACCTTCACCTGGGAGAAATACCTTAAGGAGACCAAAGCTAAAGCTGCACCGGCACGACTGTTCAATGCTGTAAGACAGGAAGTCCAAACCTTGTGCAGCATTTGAAGTTGTCCTCTCTGTTTAGCAACATATTAATAAGATCACACAAGGGCTACAATCTGTGTATTAGTTTGTTTTAATTTGGTACAAAAACAAACTTCATCAAACTGCGTATGAACCCTCAGTGTGTCTTTCTTTCTTCAGGACTATCCGGGCCACGGCTTCTCGCCCAACATGAAGCTGGAGGCGGTGGACTTGATGGAGCCGCGCCTGGTGTGTGTGGCCACCGTGAAGCGCTATGTGGGCCGCCTGTTGCTTATCCACTTCGATGGCTGGGAGGATGAGTTTGACCAGTGGATCGACCACCAATCCCCAGACATCTACCCGGTCGGCTGGTGTGAACTCATGGGCTACCAGCTCCAGCCACCTCCTGGACTCGGTAAACACCTCATAATGGCAATAGAGAGCTGCGTTAATTAACTGGTCATCTGAGCCACTTTATTTATCTGATTGAGGTGTTTACATGAGACATTTTAATTCCGATTGAACTGTAATTTGGATTATTGGAGGAATTAAAGACCAAATGAGGCAGAAAACTGTCCACCTTTCTATCACAAGTTTCCCCTTCTAACCTGTAGTTTACAACTGTGACAAAGGAGCAACAGGTGGTCAGTGCTGTGTGGATGTTTTTGACCCTGTATAAAAATTGTTTAATAAAAAGGTGTTTTGTTCTGTGTTCCAGCTGATGTAAACGAAAACCAGGCAGCACAAAACAAGAAATGCATTGGGAAAAGGAGTAAGTTCAGACTACAATCTATATGGAGTCTTCCAGATTCACATTTAGTGTTTTTGTACTTCTGATAGTTGTTGAACTACTATTTTGCTTTCTCTAGAAAAGAGGAACGCAAAGAAGAGGCTCTCTCAGGACCAAGCTAAAGATGACACTGGTCAGGAGCCTGAGGTCCTTGGCGCTGACGGTCCTTCAGGGATGGAAGGCCTCCGTCTTCCTCCAAAAATGCCTCTCATCCAGCCGAAGACTGAGCCAGAGGAGCATGAGAGTAAGTTAACAAACTCACAGATGCTGTTCACTTTCCCCTCATTTTGTGAGACCATATTGGTAATTTGCTGACTACATTCTGTCTGTGTAGTCTTTGCAGTGCAGGTGAAAGTGGAGGAGGTGGAGATGGAAACCCCCATTGCCCCTGCAGACAACCCTCAACAAGTCTCTCTGGGTATAATCAAACAGGAGGAGGGAGGGGGGCACAGTAAGTCAAGACTACAACAGGCAGCAGAGCAGTGCAGCTTGGAAAACGTATCGCATGAAAAGACAGAGCAGAGTGAAACTGCAGCAGGAAGAAGTGAAGAGTCGGGATCACTGGAAGTGAGCTTTACTGGGGAAAGCAGCATGCAGCAGAGTGAAAACAAAAAAGCAGTGGTGTAGAGGGGAGACAAAGGCTGGACCAGGAGGAGTGAAGCCAAGGAGATGACATTGGGATGACCCTGAAGGAAAACCACTGGAAAAAAGACAAAAGCAGGCTGGGATATTTAGAGCAAATAAAAAAATACACTGGTGGTTTGAAGTATGATCCGTGAGATTTCAGTCCTGGTTGATATGGTGACACGCGAGTTAACTGCAAGTGCTGGTCTCAGAAAGTTGGGTGCAATCAAACAAACTGATGTTTTAATAGAGAAGTCAGACAAAAATAATTAGGAGTTTTAAAAAGAGATACTTGTTCCATTGCTACCTGCAATATTTAAAACTGACCCTCAGTCAAAAACGCTCAGAATGACAGTCGTCTCATTTTGCACACGCATTTTCTAAGAACAGCGGCACTATGATGGCAGATACATTGCATTTTCTAGGACTGCTTCACAATAAAAGAACAAAGTGAACTCGGTGGGTTGGCATTAAAACTAGATTTTCCGTGTAAAATTTACATCTGTTACATTCAAGCCCTTTGCCAAACGAGTTAAGTGAATGCTGATTAAACCTGTCACCGCCCGATAAATCTCTGTATTCGCAGTAGAACAGAGTTTTTTAAAGCTGTGGCAACGTTCCCACACTGGCTCACCGCCGTCGCTGGTAGTGATGTGTTCTGTCAACCAGCAGTGATTGGTTTCCCAGAGCTGAAGGGAGCAACAGCAGCAGCTCAAGATGGCAGAGCCTATTCGTCATAAGCACGTAAACATTGAGGCTGATATCAATGATAAATTACAAACAGTAACGCTGGATTACATGCAAGCATGTTTCCTGTGAATGTCTTGGCTTGGATAGGCAGTTTGAATCCAGAGCAGGAATGGCAGCCTCTGCCACTACCAATAAAAACTACAATATAGAGAAGTAATTATAGAACATAACTGCAATACTGACTACAAAGTATTAAAAACAGGGTTTGATTTTATGAACATCTTAAGGGTCATAAATTTAAATACTCTAAATACCTTACTGACTGCATATGTTTCACAAGGACCAGCTTAACCAGTTTTAAAACTACCTCACTTCCTCCATGTTGTCAGACAAACCTGTAAATAAGACTCTGAAGGTCTTCATGTTTGATCATTCTGGGATGATATAGCAGACAAATGGTTGTTGTAATGTTTTATTTTTTTCCTGTTTTATATCCAGATGTATTATTTTTTGTAAATATGAAATCACTGATAAAAAAAAAAATGCTGTTCCTCAACTTTCTGTTGATGCTTGTTGTATGAAGGTATCTTGAGTTCAGTACATTATGCAGTTTAGTGGTTAAGGATAACTAGCTTAAAGCCAAAGATTGGATCATTATTGAGCAAATAGCTAAAGCTAATGACAACAGCCTCTTTCAAGATGCTAAAACTTCCAACAGCGCTGCTCAGGAGCTTGACGAGCTGGGAATGTGTATCTAATGCTGTGAATGTGAAGGAGAGCAGTGCTGACAAAAAAACGTGTGCTCAGTGTAGGTTCTCTGGATGATTAAAAAAAAAAAAAATATTGACCTTTTTCAACACATTGATTCGACTGCAAAGAGGAAATACTGCACAAGATTGACTAATTGAAAACTGACTGGGAGGAGACGTGAAACAGCCTCAGCAGCTAAAGCTTTTAAAGTCGGCAGAGGTTACAGTTTTAGAGAGTTGAATCCAGGGTTTAACCTCAAAATCAGTTGCCAGTTTACTTGAAGTTGTGGTCTCAACATTAGTACAAAAGGCTGCAATATCAGGCCAAGCTGCGTCCCTTTGAGGTTTTCTTGGCTGCTGCTGGTTTTGTGTTGGGACTTTGGCGAAGTTTGGATTTAGCTTTGACCATTTTGACCTGCCGAAGGCTGTTGAGGTGCATTGGTTTGGGTTTAGTTGCCTTGGGTGCCTTGGCGGGCTTTGGGGTGACAGTAGGGCCGGAGGGGAGGCTCTCGCCCCCAGGACAGGCTTTGAAGATGTGGACGTCCTTGACCCTGCGGCCCTTCAGCTCAGGGGGATTGGCACATGTGGCTCGTACCTTCAGGTTGACTTTCTCAATCCACCTAGATGAAAATGAAAGATCAAATTATTTTATTAAAATTGGTCAGACTAGAACCATCTCCGATTAGGAACTAGTGTTACTAGTAGCTAAAATGTAACAGTAATGTAGCAGGAGTGCAGTCAAGTTTTCCCACTGGATTTAAGGTTCTTAATCTATTTTTTATTGGGTCATAGGGTGTAATATATTTGTGTGCCTAATTATATATTAGTTAAGAATCATCCGAGATAAAAAACCCATTTTAGACATATAACAAGCTTTGTCCTGCTTTGAGGAGCTGGAGAAATGTTCAGACTTTAGAAACTCCTTTCTGTGAGAACCCTAATCATTTCTGACTACACTGTGCCAGAATTGCCTTACATGCGTAGTGGCAGCAGAGGGCAGTCACACATCAGAGGGTTGTCGGCCAGGTTGATGACCTCCAGAGAAGTGAAAGGGTGGAGGTTAGGTACCTCCTCTAGCTGGTTGCCTTCCAGGAAGAGACTCCTCAACCCTGGACCCAGACCTGCCAGGGAGTTCTGTGACATCTAGAGCAGGACATTGTTAAATAACCTCAGTGAAATGAGCTCAGCATTTCAGTGCTTAAGTTTTTATTTTGATGAGTAAATGGTCAGGTTAGAGAAAATATGGAGAAAGGTGCTGTTTGAGTATGACTAGTAGCTCCCATCAAGAGCCCGCTCACCTTCTCCAGTCCCATGTTGTCCAGATACAGCTCCTTCAGTGACCTCCCCAGTGGTCTAAAAGCATTTGGCCCCACCCAGCGAATTGAATTCCCCGACAGCCGCAGGTCTCTGAGGTTTCGCACTTTGCTCAGCGCTTCAGTGGGCACCTCCTTCAGCTTGTTTCCTCCCAGGTGAAGCGTATCGAGGTCATTGGCCTGGTCCAGACCCCTGGGTGACACATGATCAATGGTGTTCCCGGTGAGGTAGAGGGCTCTGAGGCCCTCAGCTCCGGTCAACATGTCTGGTTCCATCTTGGTGATGGCGTTATTCTCCAGGTGAAGTGCCAGCAGACTAGGCACCAGTTTGAAGGCTCCTTTGGGAAAAGTGGTGAAGCGGTTCTTCTCCAGGTGGAGATAAGTCAGCTGTGGGAGGCCTGGGAAATTAGATTATAGAAATTTTATTTTAGTAAGACACAAGTAAGAATAATGCAACAAATGCCTTTTAATTTTTGCATTTAAAAGACCTTTAAAAGCATCAGGGCTGAGAGAAGAGAGGTCATTCTCCGACAGGTACAGGTAGATCAGTCCCTTCATTCCACTGAAAGCCCCACCCTCCACCTCCACGATCTTGCAGCGCTGCAGATGTAGGGACACGACTTGGGTAACACCGGGGAAGCTATTGGATGGGATGTAGTGGAAGTTGTTGCCACGCAAGTCGAGGAGACGCGTGTTGGGAGAGAAACCCCGTGGAACTTTGGTATGGCCACGGTTCTCACACGATGAGTGGTGCGTCTCAGCCTGAAGGCCAGGAGGTAATGGACAGAGGACACAGTGCCAGCACAAGTCATATAGTTTTCCACTCTCCCTTTGAATGCATACATACACATTCAGCTCTCCTGACACTACCAAACTTGTTAGTTGATGCCAAATTTTCTATAATCATATTTCTTTTAAAAGTTAGCAAAATTCAACAATTTGGGTTTCAAAAATGTTTTTCCTTCTTTGCGATCAAATGGTGACCCCTAAGACTTATCTTATGACCCAATTGGAGGGTCCCCACCCCCATGTTTGGAACCACTGTGTATTCGCCAATTATAAGTTTTGGGTTTTTTTTATTAGACATTTGTATTTGCAAATCAAATAAACTTTAAGCTAAACTACAAAACATTTTGTTCAGCGGGTTTTAGGGCAAACAAAAAAATTAACAATTATAATTGATGGTTGTAGAGTCTGTAATACTAATAGTAACAGAAAATGCAGAATATTTAAGTTAAAGCAATAACTAATAATAATTAGACCATAACTTTTGCAAGTGACAAATATGGAATGATGTTAAAAGCTTAAAACATAGTTTAGCACAAGTAGAGAAGTAATAAAGAAATATCAAAAACTAACTGTAGGAGCAAAACCGTGGGTGTGTTTATTGCTTTTTTTATTTGGAAGTGGCTATAAGACGTTCAGAAACATGCATATCGCTTATCAGTTAACTGTCATTTCTAAATACTGCTATTGAGGAACATTACACTGAAACTCACTTTTACACTTATTTTTTATTTATCAAAATAGTATTTAACATGACTTTAAGGTATTCCCATCAGCTACAATGGTGTTTGGCAGCAGAAAAAGTTTCAGTGATACAGTTGAAGGCATAGTTGGCAACACTTGGCTAGTTCATTAAGAAATAAGTGAGGAACAAATCAGGAAAGACTTGATTATGGATGAATCGTTAATAATTACTTCCCTAATAGTTCATAATGGAGATGAGTTACTAGAGAACAGACTGGGAGCTCTTATATCAATTAATCATTAGGTAATGATTAGTTCATGAATATCTGAATAATCCTACTGACCACTGTAATATAGTGAGACACGCCCACTCCAGTTTGTTTTATGTATCACTTTACTTGCGGTGCAAAACAGTAAGTATTATTTAAGTAATTAGTAATAAATGAGTCAATACTAGTTTTGTGCTTTTCACATCAAGAAAATGGTCAGTGATCGATTCACAGATATTCATGAACTAAATTACCTAATGATGCATTAATATAGGATCTCCCACTGTGTTCTCTAGTTATTAATCATTATCTACTATATAGTTATGAATTATTATAAGAACTTGATAACGATCAATCAATAATTAGGTCCTTCCTGATTCCTTCCTCACTCATTTCTTAAATAACTAACCATTACCTAATCATTAGCTACTCTATAAAATTTGATTAGAAGTTACTCATGGTTCACTAGCAGTTAATTCCACATTCGTTCCTCATTTGTTTTCTGGTAACTACTCAGCTAACAGATGTACGAGAGGGCAAGAAAACAGTGTCGGTACACTACAAATGTAAATCATAAAACTGTGTCCCCTGGAGTCCAACTTCATACAACCCACTCACCTCGCAGGCACAGTTGGCAGGACACTTGACCTTGTTCTCTGGCTCTACAGTGGGTGGTGGCACGATCCTGGTTGCTTCCTCGAACTCTGCCTTCAGCATGGCCTCCTGGCTCTGACAACGCAGCTCAGGAGGATGAACGGCATCCAGGCTTTCTCCTGACAGATGGGCCGGTCCTCCACATGTCCCAATCAGCTTCACCTTGCTACGGATTGCCCACTCCCTGTAGTGAGGTAACAAAAAGAGAGAGAGATTGGGGATTAGTACCTTTCTGTTTGACAGAATAAAAGAACTATGGCCTAAAAGTCAGCCATTGGTTCAAAATCCACAAAGGTCTGCTGTACCTGAGTGGACGTAGGTAGCAGTTGCAGTAGATGGGGTTTCCAGCAAGGTTGAGGCGTGCCAGCTTGGGTGAACCTTCAGAGAAGGGCTGGATGACACGCAGCTGGTTGTAGCTGATGTCCAAGTGGATGAGGTTGGGGGATTTCGATACAGCTGAGTTGGCCAGGTCCTGCAGGGACATGTGGTCCAGGAAGAGGTGGGTCAGTTTGGCCATGGACACCACCTCCTCTCCAAGGTAGGTCATCGGGTTGTGGCTCAAATCAAGACGGGTCACCTCTGGCAGTCTGGGTACAGAGAAGTGTGGGAAATTAGGATGTAAATTTCAGGTATATTACTTGAATATTTATTATATTATAGGGATCTGATGTTTGCAGGTATTTTCTCTCCAAGGCACCGGGCAACTGAGATGAACGAATGTCTTTAAGCCTTGCTCGCAACACGGCTCTAGAGATTGCAATACTAGTTTGACAGTCCAGCACTTTGGTCCAGACTGAAATATCTCAACAACTACTGGATGGATTCTAATAACTTTGGTTATCCTCTGATCTTTAATTTAGCACTATCAAGTCAAAATTTAAATATATACAATACTTGGGTTTATCACCAAACATCTGGAGAACTAAAGACATTCCCATCAGCCTCAGCTACACTTTGTCATTAGTGCTAATTAGCTAAATATTAGCATGCAAATTATAAACATTATTGCCAGGATTAACATTGTGAGCATGCTTGTACAGCCTCACAGAGCTGCTTACGTAGCTGTGTAGACTCTAGTCTTATTTGTTCACAGAATAAAAACTAGTACTCACAGCAGTTTGATTTTATTAAAATATTAGGCATTTCTCAGTAGAAAGAACATTTACTGTCCACATGAGGGCTCTGCAACTCTGTGGCAGAACACATGTGATTGAAAAGTACTGTAGATAGTGACATATGCCAAGTAGCCTACCTGGTCATGGTCTCACTGGGGAAGAACTGCAGCTCGTTATGGTCCAGACTGAGACGGGTGAGCGTGAACAGACCAGCGAAGGCCTCAGTATCCAGGTAGTTCAGTGAGTTGTGACTAAGACGAAGCCATTTGATGTTCTGCAAGCCCTGGAAGGAAAAGAGGTCCGCTGTTTTAAGGGGCTATATGCAGTTTTTTAATGAAATTAATAATTTTATTGCCTGTGTTGTAACCTCACATTAAAATGATCTACTTGCAGGGTTTTTCTGTTACCTCTGATGGCCAGTATGCCTATCCTATGTGAAGACTCGGGGTGATATATTTCCGCAAAATTCATTGGATGTGACGTGCATGCGCGCTCCCAACCCTCTTGGCTGCTCCGTACAAACAGCAAAAACACCACAGCTAACGACCTGAGTCCACTAAAACTAGAAGACAACCAGCTCCCAGCACAACACAGACTCCAACACAAACTTCACATAAGGATAAAAACCAACAACTAACTTTTATGTGCTGAAGCCTGTCAGGCCAAACGAGAATCAGATTGACTTTGGATGAAAACACAGTCACGGACAAGACTCCGCTTTGTTTTGAAAGTGACACAGAGTTGGCTTTCATCCTGATGGACAGGTAAACTAACATTACAGCAAAGCACGTGGAACATATTGTGACTTTATGCTTTAGTTGGCTAATGTTAGCTCGCTGGCTAACACCAGCCAGTTGCTAACATTATCCGGTGCAAAATACTGTATGGCTTGCCACATTACTTCACTAGCTAACACAACCCATATTACTATCTTGTGTGTGACCGGTATTATGTCAAAGTCTTGATTTTAGCTGCAAGAAATGATGTTAAAGCAAATGTGGAGCGATTTGTTTTTACTAGCCTGTAGTGATGCAAGGCATGGGGAGCCAGCTAACGTTTGCACTGATCCGCTGCTGTTTGCTTCATAAAGTTCATTTTAGATTTATTGTCATTTTACACAGCTTCTCCACCATCTCACTGTAACTTGTGTGACCCCCATAATATAGAATAATGCAACATAAAGCACAGGACAACAAGACCCATTAATTACAGTGATGTTAATTACTGTGGTCTAACTGCGATAAAGTGTGGCAACAATCTTTTGTTTTATAACATATATTTATAATTTTCAGTCTAGCTCACTAATCATTTTCATTATCATCCAATACATTTAGCTGTGCTGACATTGCTGAGCCTCTGGTGAAATGTACACAGTTATTGAAAAGTGGCAGACGAGCTTCCACCGATGTATCACGTTGGCTAAATGCAGTCAGTGTCATGTTATCATGTAACGGGACATGCATTAGTTCAACCTCAAGCTCATAAAATTATTTACAGTAACGTTGGAGTGGGAGTTTACAGCACTTTGTGTGAAGCTGTCTCCCAATGTGTCTGTCTGTCTTTTCTTTGAGGTATTTTGTGTAGGTTGGTGTGTGTGTGTGCACCTGGAAGGCCATGTTAGGAATGTAGATCAGCTGGTTGTGTGTGAGGGAGAGCAGGTTGAGGAAGCCAAGCTGAGAGAAAGCCCCGGGCTGGATCTCTTCCACGCGGTTACGGTCAATCATAAGCTGCTTCAGCGAGGACAGGCCGTCGAATGACTCCTGGACAAGCACAAGACAAGGCAGACAAAACATTTACTGAATATCACTGAGTGTGTGTGGTGGGGGTTTGTTTCAATAAGGAGAGGCTATGCACAGGGTGACTGGAGAATTCTAGATAAAAAAGTATAATGGGATACATGACGGTTAGAGAACTGGATCTGTGTGGTGACCTGGTAGAGAATGTCAATGTTGTTGCTGGCCAGGTTGAGGAAGACCAGGCGACCAAGGCCGCGGAAAGCCCCTTCTTTCACCCTGTGGATGTTGCAGCGCTGCAGCGACAGGTGAGTCAGGTAGGGAGTGTGTTTGAAAGCCCCGGTGGGAAGTTCTTGAATGTCGTTACCTCGAACATCTAATTTCACAGTGATCTACGAAGACAGGGGATTACAAATTAGATGGAAAGAGAAGGGAACTAAATATACCATAGACATGTTGGTTATATATGTGTGTGTGTGTGAATAAGAGACCTCGTCAACAGTGGGAGGAATTTGGGTCAGGTTCTTGTTGACGCAGGTCACAGTGAGCTGGATCTGGTCACAGATGCACTGCGGTGGACATTTTGCTGTGTATGTGGCAGGGATGCAGAGGAGCAGTAGGCTGAGCAGCAGGGTGTCAGGACAGAGCTGGGAGTACATCTGAGAGGGAAAGAAAAGCATTTACTTCATTCACACTACTGTATGTGGTAGTAATGTATGGTCAATAGTCTTTACTGAGGCTCGTCTTGGCCGGTAAATAAAGAAAATATCACATTTCTCCATTGACACCCAAAAGGCCAAGCCAGCAGCAAACTTTTTTTTTTAGATGTGAATGACCTAATAGATCCACTACTCACCCTTCATTCATTCATTCACTCACAGTTAATGTATTTGGCCATTGGCAGTGTCTACAGAGGAAACACTGAATCAACATCATTCACTCTTACACCCTCTGCAGACTGCTGAACTGTGTGCAGTGCTTTATATCTATGACCCTGTGTAGTTAGAAATGAATTGTTTCAGCATTAAATGTCCTTGTATAACTTACTAATGATTAGCTCTTGTACAAACCTGTTGTTAGACCGTCAAAACATGAAGGGAGTACCTATTCAAGTTATAGTCATACAAATTTGTTTAATACTATAAGGCAGGTGGGACTTATGCGTAGGACCCCAGACCTTCTCTTGCTTAGAGCCACTGTTATTTTTATATATATGTAGTCAAGTGGTAAGTTACTATTTGCTTTTATTTCATTACTTTATACTTCTATTGCACTACATTTTAGAGGGAAATGTTGTAATTTTTACAACACTACATTGTGGCAGTTATAGATACTTTTCAGTCTGAGTGACTGAGTCTTTCACATCACACTAGTGGTTTTCAACATTGTTGGCTTCTAACCAGCCCCAAAAGGGGCCCCTTGTCATTTTAAGACATTTACCCTCTAAACCTCTAGGACAGTTTCATTTAAATAACTGTCCAAAGTTAAACAAAATAGTTGTTCTTAAATGGCATCACTCTGAAGAACCATTTTTTGTTCCACTTAGCACCTTTATTTCTGCAGGTAAAATTAAAATGTGGTGAGAATGGGGCCCTACTTCCAGAAGCATAGAGGCCCTGTGATGCAGCATACTGAACGGTGTATAGCTATGTGATGTAGCTGCAGACAGGATATATTCTATACAGTCACCACAGACTTAGAATATGTGTGTCACTTTGTTTTTTCGTTTTTTTGCTTGCATTGTGCTAAAGCTCATTTTGACGAAAAATATCTCCATCGTCCTGTACTTCTGGGGATTAGTGTTATTTTGGTCAGATTGGGCTGCCCCCGTCTTCGCTGGAATGCCTTAAAACCACATTCCCATGTCGGATCAACAATCTTGATCCGCAGGAATGGACATGAAAAGCTTCACAGCTCCGCACTCTGAAATTTGGAATACATTGACGCGGTGAAACGGTGCCACGGCTAAACCTTACTCAAAACTGCTGCACCAAACCTTGTCAGACAGATGGACCTGACAGTGACCTATGAGCGCATAAATCAGAGAAAACACGGTTATATTTCATGAATAGGCTCCATTTGTCAACTTGAAGTCAGACTGACAGCATATAACAGCCTTGATATTTTATAAGCATACCACGTTTTGTTCCTAACACCCCCTAAGTAGAGAGGAGGCAAGAAACTGGAGGAGGAGGAATTTTCCCCGGCCGGAGTGTTTGTCCGCCTCCCCCCAGGGATTAACAGCCCCGACCGCAGAGGAGCTGCCGCGCCGGCTGCGCACAAAGACGCACAGTGTCTTTTCCTGGCGGTGTTGTGCCAAAATGCGTTTGCCCCGAAAGAAAGTCTGTCCCCAGGCCAGGGACGGTGAGAAAACTACTCTACATCGGCTCTGAATGCTTTTACCAGAAATCACCATGCAACATTTGTCCTGTCTTCAACATTATGTTACTGTTGTCCTGTGCGTAAACAGGGAAGTTGACTTAATGAAGTTTTGGGAATGACAAAAACCTACAATATTATTTAAGTATTATAAAAATACCATCCATTTGTGTTTGTTCAATTCCCGCACCTAATGACAACCAAGAAAATATGTATTCAGTGAGATAAAAGTTGGACGTATTTCCCTTCCTTTTGACGCAAAACAAAACGTGTCCACGTGATTAGATAATTAAACAATTCGGGTTTTTCAGTTTTTGTAATGTCACTGCCACTATTACAGTCGAACAAATAAATGTACATGTTAGAGGTCCAAACATTTGACTATTTACATTAAGTATAAATCATTTTTACGCACGGACTCACCTTGGATTCGTCGTGGTTCTGTCTGGTCGCTTACTGGCCGCTGACTCTCACGGTCTCTGCTCCCTCTGCTGCTCTTCCCCCGGCTGTCCCCCATCCAAAACAAACTCCGTTTATCCCTTCATTCACTGACCCTCCGCCCCGACACACACACACCTCCAACTCCCACCTCTGGAGTCTGCACACACTGCTCAGATGAGCCTGTTAAAGGAATAGTTTGCGTCAAAATGAAAAATTATTGAGCCATTTCACCTCACTGCTGTGCAGGTTAATCTCCAGTGTAGTTGGAAGATTCTTCTCAGCCCTCTTAAAGTAGAGCTTCAGTCTACACTCACCTAAAGGATTATTAGGAACACCATACTAATACTGTGTTTGACCCCCTTTCGCCTTCAGAACTGCCTTAATTCTACGTGGCATTGATTCAACAAGGTGCTGAAAGCATTCTTTAGAAATGTTGGCCCATATTGATAGGATAACATCTTGCAGTTGATGGAGATTTGTGGGATGCACATCCAGGGCACGAAGCTCCCGTTCCACCACATCCCAAAGATGCTCTATTGGGTTGAGATCTGGTGACTGTGGGGGCCATTTTAGTACAGTGAACTCATTGTCATGTTCAAGAAACCAATTTGAAATGATTGGAGCTTTGTGACATGGTGCATTATCCTGCTGGAAGTAGCCATCAGAGGATGGGTACATGGTGGCCATAAAGGGATGGACATGGTCAGAAACAATGCTCAGGTAGGCCGTGGCATTTAAACGATGCCCAATTGGCACTAAGGGGCCTAAAGTGTGCCAAGAAAACATCCCCCACACCATTAAACCATCACCACCAGCAGCCTGCACAGTGGTAACAAGGCATGATGGATCCATGGTCTCATTCTGTTTACGCCAAATTCTGACTCTACCATCTGAATGTCTCAACAGAAATCGAGACTCATCAGACCAGGCAACATTTTTCCAGTCTTCAACTGTCCAATTTTGGTGAGCTCTTGCAAATTGTAGCCTCTTTTTCCTATTTGTAGTGGAGATGAGTGGTACCCGGTGGGGTCTTCTGCTGTTGTAGCCCATCCGCCTCAAGGTTGTGCGTGTTGTGGCTTCACAAATGCTTTGCTGCATACCTCGGTTGTAACGAGTGGTTATTTCAGTCAAAGTTGCTCTTCTATCAGCTTGAATCAGTCGGCCCATTCTCCTCTTACCTCTAGCATCAACAAGGCATTTTCGCCCACAGGACTGCCGCATACTGGATGTTTTTCCCTTTTCACACCATTCTTTGTAAACCCTAGAAATGGTTGTGTGTGAAAATCCCTGTAACTGAGCAGATTGTGAAATACTCAGACCGGCCCGTCTGGCACCAACAACCATGCCACGCTCAAAATTGCTTAAATCACCTTTCTTTCCCATTCTGACATTCAGTTTGGAGTTCAGGAGATTGTCTTGACCAGGACCACACCCCTAAATGCATTGAAGCAACTGCCATGTGATTGGTTGATTAGATAATTGCATTAATGAGAAATTGAACAGGTGTTCCTAATAATCCTTTCGGTAAGTGTATATCCAAAGTCCAGTACTGACAACTTTATCCCGAAATATTTAACTAATAGATACGTCTGTATCTATCTGTCTGTTACTCAGCAAATTGTGCATGCAGACACACACACACAGAGAGACTAAGAGTCAGGCTTGTTGGATTAGTTATATTTCTGGCAGGGCTTTCAGCACAAAACATCATCACATCTGTAATACAAACATAATCCACAAGGTCCAATGTTACTCAGAAGTGTAACTAAGTGCCATTTAAGTGTATTCTTTCCTCATTTCCCTTTTAAATCATATCACCAACAGGAAAAACAGCTATATGAGCTAGCACACAGCACCTGAAGTCACATAAAAGTGCATCTTTAGGTAAGATTGATTATGGTGTTTAAAAAGAAAAAGAGACGAAACTCTAGGTAAAAGTGATTCCCTGACCTCTGCAGTGTTATGACCGTGCTTATGTGTGGCTCCTGCATGCAGCCCATTCCTGCTCGTAGTCTGATGCACAGGGCACTCTGACTTGACTGGACTTTATGAGCAGCAGCGTGACGATTGTGATCGGACAGACTGTCCTAAAAATGTTGTCTTTCCCCTTACCATAGAAGGTTTAAACACCAAACAAAACTAATTGATCCTATCAGTAAGACAGAACAATGGAGTCAGCTCCTTATTTGAACTAATTTATTTAGATTGTAGTTTTGATATTGGAACAAATATCAGAGTACCGGTATGTGAGATACAGGCCTAAAAATGCAGCAAATCTTAGCTGTGTGTTTATCAGAACACTGCGACAGTATCTGCCATACCGTGCTAAAATATATTGTACAATCTCAACATTTTAAGACCTGGAAATTACATGGATGCATTGTTTGAAACTGTAACTAACTGCAAAGCAATATGTTGTAAAAGGTGCCAGACTGACACCGTTTTTGTTAGCTCCACTCCACGTTACAATCAGTTTCATGTTTTACACATTAACTCAAAGGTTAAACTCATGTATTCCTATATTTTTATCTCTATTTTCTATAAAAAATATAAGTCACAAGAATAAGTAGAAAAATAAAAACTAAAAGATTCTGGACAGTCTTTGTCATGCCTTCATAAAAATATACATATCAGGAGTGGAGATACATTAAGTGGTTGTCTGAGTCCCTTGTTCAAGTGTAAAGCTTCCCTGTATTTTTGTTGGTAAAGAGATTAATGCCAGTACAGTGTGTGTCTGTGTTCCAGTGTTGGTACTGGCAGTGGAGGGTCAGTGCTGACCATGGCACTTCTCCTCCAGGGCAGAGCTCAGCCGTTCTCTGGCACTACTGCAGGACTTGAGAGCCTCACTGTTCCTGCAGATTCACAAAGGAAAATAAATGTAGACAATATAAGACTTCAGAGTCTGCAAGAAGTGATGTGACACAAACAGTTCCACATTACATTTTACGCTTTCATTCACAGGTTTCACATTGACTGACACGTAAATTTAAACTTGTGCAGATGTAAAGATTGTCCTACTTGGTCACGAAGGTGTGAAGCAGCAAGGCAGAGTGCTGGGGGAAATATTCCTGCTGGACAGCGTGTTCCAAGCACAACAGCTGACCCGGGACCAATGGAACCTTTTTCATCTTCCCCTCTCCCTGAAACATGGAACAGAAAAGCCTAAATTAACTGAATCATTAATACAATTTATGTCAAACAGTGACAGAAAGGAAAGAAAACCCAGCGAGGACCATGTTCTACAGAAAAGCAGATGTGATGAATGAATGGATCAGCTGTTTTTCTAGTCATCTCCAGATGATGACATGACAGACTGTGAAGACAAGACATTAGCAGTATGTATGGTAACAGTAGAGGGACTCTTAACTAAAAGCATTTTCACAACAGCCACAAATAATTTGTGAAATATTTATGAACTTCGCAAATTTGTATTTAAGCTTACACACCAATGCACTAATGCATGCCATCAATCAAACTGGTACTACAACATTTCTGTTCTGAGTGAACAGAAACTTGACTTGCTTTCTGGTACCAGGAACTTGTCTCAATTTCGTTTTCCACTGCACATTCTTAACTGATCATCTCAGCTACGCTGTGTGAAACCGCTGTGACACCACCGTCATGAACCATCGTCATTAACGCGACACAAACACAGGAACTCTCGCTGGCAACCAAACATGGGAACGTCTGCACCTTGTCAACTGACCATGCTGTGGTTTTGCAAGCTGCCATTTAAAAAAAGAAAATCTGGGTGGTGAATTTGAAAAAGCAGCAGCCGATATTGATGGCTCTTTAAATATAGTGTGTTTGTGCAGGATGTCCGATTCTGGTGACAGTTCTCTCTTACCAATCAGTGGTCTGCAGTGTTTTAACTCCATCTTTTAGTATGAACACCGCTCGTTTGGAAGCTCGACTGAGGAGATACCAAAACAAGTACCAGGTACTATCCACAACTTTTGCCAATGTTAAACCACAAAAGAACGGTTCTAAGTGAGCCGCGCCGTGCCGTCCCATGCTGTGGTATAAAATAGAGGAAGGTCCAGATTGAGCACATCATGGTGCTCTGATACAGTTTGAACATATCAGTGCTCTGACTGCATTACTATTGTAAAGTGTTTTGAGTCTTTCCTATTAAAAAAATTATAAACAATCCCGGTGGGTTTTTTTGTTTTTTTTTTTAAGTTCTGTGTCAGATTCTTGGGGGAGAGAGTTGGGGGTTCTGTAGCAGTACTGTACCTTGAGGAGTCCCATCAAGACCAGCAGTGTTGAGAGGAAGCAGTATGACTGGAGGGCGGAGCCAGAGAGGAGCTTCTTCAACACAGCGTCTGTGAGACACAGTGACTCAGGTTTATTTCAGTGAGACGTCACAGCAGTAGAGCTGAAACGTTGTTTAATCCATATAACATTTCACCAACACATTTCAAGCTTAAAGAAAATAACTCTGTACAGTGTGTCTAATGTAAAACGGAACTAGCCTACCACAACAGCATGACGGCAAGGCAGCGAAAGCATCCAGTCTACATATTGAGTCCATGGAGAGGACCCGAAACAAGGTAATGTTAACGTTAGCATTTAACATACATCACAATTGCTAGTTGAGATGCAGGCTAGCAAAGGTAAGGCACAAATCTTAGTTGCAAAAGTTTAAACATACGTTTGTTGTTATTGTTGTCCAACTGGTTAGCCCATGGGTTTGGTATGTAAAATGATGTGATTTACACAGCTGTTCCCGGTACAGGGGGCGACAAGCAAACGTATTTGTTGTCGATTACTTAATGAACTGATAGAATAATAATATATCCGTAGAATACTTGATTAATAAACTAAGCAATAGCTGCAGCCCTACACAGCAATGATAGCACTAGCATCTATCAACAGCAGTATTTGAACCACTTCATACAAACACCAAAATACTCCTGTTTGTTTTCAGTAGTAGCAGCAGCTTTTTTATTCACCAATAGTTTCTAGGACGGCCGCCTTGGTCTCTGGCTCCTCGCTGTACAAAGAAGCGATTTTCAGAAGGACATCAGCAGCCTTGTGCAGGTCAGATGCATCCACCTGGGGAAACGTTTTATTAACAGATTAAATCCAGTCTGTATGACGGCATATTAGGGCCATTATATTTAAAAAGAAAAAAATGGAATTCGGGGTGGGGTGGGGGGGGGGTTACATTCAGAGAAAACCTTTTAGAATAAAGTAGTCAATTTACGAGAAACAAAAAAGAAACGGACAGTTACATTAAATTGTGGGAGCAGCTAACAACCTGCTGGGACACTTAATAGTCACTTTCTTTTAAATTTCCTACCTGTTGCTGCAGGTTTGTCCTCATCTCTCCCAGCTGAAGAAGCTTCTCTGCAGAGGGGCAGCTGAGGAAAGACATAATCTCTGCCTGAGGGTGGACACAAAGTCATAATCACAGCAGGAATCCTGAAGCCTTTATTTTCTGCTGTTCTTGGTTAGTGCAAACTTATTAGGATATTTCAAGACCCTGACATGAAGCTTACGGCCAGACACTATTCTTTTAACATGAAATATTGATCTAAATGTTTTATTAAACCAAACTAATTTACACACTTTCAATTTATGCACAAAATGACTAGCCTAGAATAGTTAATTTGTTTAGAAAGCAACAATACAGCAAATAACTTGAAGCTAAATATAAATGTTAGTGGCAACTTACTGAGGTCTGAGGTTTTGTAGGACTGTCATCTTTTCTTGTTATTCCATTTTCCTTCACATTGCCACCGTCCTCCTCGTTGTCTTCATTACAGTCGTCACTATCGTCGTCACCGTTTTCATGGTCGTCGTCATCTTCCTCATCATCAGGTTCTCCTTCATCATCACTGTAGTGAAGTCAATAGGAACATCATTTTATATCTCGGGAAATGTCATCAGAAATACAGGGTTTTATTTGTACTGAAGGAACTTAACAAAACACACACATGCACACACACACAGACACACAGACACACACACACAAACAACCTGAGTGATGCCAGCATGTCTCCTTTGTCCATGTTCTCCATAGCTTCTCTCAGAGCCTCACAGCCCTCCTCTCCCAGACAGTTACCTGTTAAAGTCACACAATGATAATTTTTACCATAGCTATGATATTTTAGCTAACCCCAGTGTATATCCACTTCATTAAAACTAATATTTAATATATTTCTTCTGAAACTAATTCCACAACCCTTCTAGGATTTTAATGCCTCATTTAACTGCTGTTCTGCAATGACAGTGATAGCAGCTCTGAAGTCAGAGTGCGTACCGTTCAGATCCACTTTCTCCATGTAAGGTTTGTCCTCAACAGCCTGAGCCACAACAAGTGCAGCTGCCTCAGTGATCTCACCAAATGACAGATTCAGGTCCTGAAGATAAGGAACATAGCTGTATATGATCACACAGCAGGACACAAGCACACAAACATCAAGGCTGAAATCTGCTGGTGAACTGACCTTGAGGATTGGCAGGCCCTCTCTGAGGACTGCAGCGAGGGCAATGGCTCCTTCAGAGCGGACCAGGCAGTCGCCAAAGTTGATCACCTGTACATTCCTCAAGTGCCTCAGAGCCTGCATGACCGGCAGGAGAAAACAGTGTACAGAAACACTTCAGCTGAAACACACTGGCTACATGTCTGCTGTACTTTTAAGAAAAATCTGCACAGGCCTCACCTGTGCCATGGCCAGCGTTCCCTTCTTGGTGAAGGTGTTGTCATTCAAGTTGAGGACGCGGAGCTCTGGGTTGTGTCGCATGGCTGAAGCTAACGCCATCACACCTGTGTAGCTGATACCATTCTGGGGCATGTGGACTTCCTCCAGGCTGCCCATCAGCTTACATGGAAAAGAGAAAGTGAGTTTGAGGAGGCCGGCATTTGTGCCAAACAAGTGAAGTTGTGTCGCATCTGCAGATGCAGGGCTCTTGCATCATTTTAAAAGTCAAATGAATGCTTTTTAAGACCTCAGCAAATATAAATTTAAGAAATTTTGAAACAATTTCTTTGACAGAAAAGAGACGCGCGTTTGATCTCTTACTCATTTGGCAGAACGTCGCAATGCCACATTTGGCAGTTTTATTTTCACCACAGGTGAATGACTTGCCTATTCCAAATCGGGGAACACAGAGGCTGTTTACACCTAGCGTTAAAATGTATTTTGGTGATCAGATTGTGATCGGGTAGCACTTGACCACATGAAAGTACATGTGTAAATGCACCCAAGACGTATTGAGGACAGATTGTGATCTATTCAGCAAAACCACCTCTGGAGGTGGTCAGGGACACCATGACCACATGGATGCAAATGCGTTGTCTATCCACATACAACAACTACTTGGGCGGAAATATGTACCGGTCACAGTCTTCTGCAAATAAAATCCAAAAGTCTGACAGCGCAGACAGGCGCCTAGACAGTGTGTCCATTCAGAGTTGTGCATAAACACGCTCAAACAGTGCCGATCATTAATCATGCTCAGGTTTTTGATGAACTGATCGTGTCCGTTTGTGAACGTGAACTAGGGCTGGGCAATAAAACAATAATGATCATTATCGTGACACAATCTTCCTCAATAACAATATAACAAATGTTCAATAAATATTTGATTTAATTCATTTGAATCACAAACGAATTAGCACTTTCTTTTCTATTAAGATATTTATTGTGTTGAGGAAAAGGGACTGAAAAAAGATTTTACTTTAGTTTTCTCATGCATATTTGTTGTTTTGAATGTTCTACCTCAGCTTTGTGAAGTGATCCACTGTTTCATATCAGGCCACTGTTTGGCATCAAGTGTTTATCATGTTCTGACCAGAAAGAAAAGTTTAAAAGCACAATTACCATCTGTTTTTTTCAAAAAAAAAAAATCAGCCTTTAAACTTATAGTCCTAATAATAAATATAATGATTAATCATACACTGCTGGGTTAAACTCAATATAAACTACTAAAAAAACCAGAAGAGAGCAACATTATAAAGGTAGGAAGAAAACGGACTGAACTTAAGTTTCACTTTCACTTTCCGCCGAGCTAATACACAGGTGCACCGCTAAAGAGAGGTAAATCATCCATGGAGGAAAACAAATCACGGTGAAAGACATAGCCTACTTTAGAAAGTTATTTTAACCTGTAGTTATAGATATTTTTTAATATACAGTCTATGTGTAGGCTACAGTTGTTTGAGCTAGACAGAACGAACGGATCTTCCTCCAACCACTTTAACTTGTGTCTCCCAATCTTGCAGCCACGACTATAATATGACAGGCAGGCAGACGACAACGTCTACAGCTACCGTAAACGCAACATATGAGTTATATTAATAGCGGGGTCTCGCATTGTCAATTACTAAAAGAAAATAATTCAAATACACGCTTATTAGGCGTTTTAGGCGACAATTTTCCTACCAGCCTTAAACTGCAAATTTAATAACTACAGCAAATTTACGGTATATTTAAGACAAGACCTTAATTTCCCTTATTTCAATTTAAGACCATTTAAGTCTTTTTAAAGGAGCCGCGGGAACCCTGAGATGTCTTGTTTCAACAACAGTCCAAAACGCAGTGATCTTAAAATGTAAGCTGGAACTGAGCCGTGTTGATTCATAAACACAATTAACCTAATTAAGTTTCTGTTGACAAACATCATATGTGTAATTCGGGGCATAATTCAAACGGGCTCAAAGAATGAAAGCTGTTGACTACAGTGCATATTATTTCCGAAATAAGGTCCCATGGTGGTCCACCGGAAGGGGAGGGACTTTGGCCCTCTCTATAATTTTACTAACTAACGGTGATTCCTCATGTTTTTAAAAATATCATTGATGTAAAGCTTTAACAGCACGAGATAACAAACTTCACTTAGTCTAGTGTAGTCCACGTCTTAAAAAACCCTGTTGATCAGTTTGGGAGTGAGTATAATCTACCTGAAAGGCCTTGGCCAGGGCGCGGGCTCCTTCATTTTCCAGGCGGTTCCTCCCTGCGATGAACACTCTCAGTCTGAGCGGAGCTCCGAGCGCTGATGACTGTCTGTGGCACTCTATCAGAGCTTCAGTAAGGATCTACACAAATCATACAGCACTGTTACAGTCTGCATTAGGATGCAAACATGCATTAAAACCTGTCCTGTGTGGAACATATTTGCACTGGTTTATTGTAAATCTGGAGCACTTGCTTGTTTTATTCTAGTTGGTTTGGTTAGAATACAAAAGTAGTATCTGAAGTCTGCGATTTGGAGCTGCATGAGGGGTTGACAGTGTTAGGTCAAAACATATCAAAGCATTCAGCATCGCAGTTTGTGAGCTCACCTTTCCTCCTCCGATCCCCATCCCACAGTTGTTGAGCTTTAGCTCCCTCAAGGTGTAGCAGGAAGGACTCTTCAGCAGCTGCTCGATTCCCTTCACACCATCTGGGCCAAAGGCGTTATCACTTAGGTCCAGCTCAGTCAGCCTAGCCCCAGCACTTATTATTGCACCGCCCAGACACCTCTGCCGAAAGCACAGAAAGAGAACGTTTAAGACAGGCATATTCAGGGAGTAGATATCAAACAGGTACATTACAACACAAAGCAAAATGAACTGCAGAAACCAGTGCTGGAAATTCTCACCAGGGCTGTTGGGATTTCAGAGCGCAATCTTCCAGTGAACATGTCACTCCAATAGCATCTCTGAAAGACACAAAAAGTTTTAAACAGAGAGAAAACAGTGAGTGTGTCTTCTCTGATACGACAGTGGCCAGAAGGAATTCAGTATCAGTATTCCTGGGGTGGTTATTAAACCACAGTCTTTGAGATCCAACCAAATTATGTCTTGTAGACTGCAAAGTTCTTAAAGTACTATCAACAAAATATTGCTGATTGAAAAATGTGTTCTTGTTTGGCTATTTGCAATAACACAAAACATTGGTGCATTTGAGAAATCTAATTTTGTTAAATAAGAAAAACTGTGTGACATTCACAAAAGAATCATCTGGGTCCTGACAATATTTAGTGTGAAAGCATTTATTGACAGTGATCATATAAATCACAATCATACCCTGCTTCAGTCAAAGAGGTGAACCTAACCTGGTGCACTGCTTAAATATAAGCCTACTCCTAAATCAATGTAAATGTACTGCTTATGATATTAATGCTTCTTTGATTCTTTATGCTTCTTCTTCGTTATCTCGAGTACCTGGAGCAGGCCTTTGCTCTCCAGAGCCTTGGCTATGGCCCGGGCTGCATCCACTCCCACAGTGTTCCCCTCCAGGCGAAACGCTCTCAGACCTTGGTACTGCTCCATCTCACGGACCAGCTCCTCCACTGAAAGCAGAGATAACAGACTGCCAGGTCTGAAGAGAAAACCGGGACCAGCCCTTTGATGCCTACAGTACACAGCGGGCGAATAACAGGAGAAAACAAAGATAACCCCTCACTGCTGCCCTGTTCAGCATCTGACCTGATTCTGCGTTGTCCAGCTTTAGTCCCATGCCTTTGTAGCTCAACTCTCCATCCCCGACGTGGGTCTTGGAAAGAGCATCAGCCAGCTGAGCAATGTCATCTGAGGCCATAGTGACTCTATGGAGACATCCAGAAGTCAGATTTTAGTCACTTCCTCGACACATAAATGAGCAGAAGTACACCGGAAATCGAAAAATGTTCATTGACTGCTGATACATTACAAACAGATAATTTTCTAACGTCAGTGCAACGATCAACAAGCCACGGTATCTATTTAGCTTCACCGGTTTGTTAGCTAACTTAGTAACTTAGAGGTGCGCAACATAACAGACGTTGGCGCCACGAGCTAATCAAACACGAATGAGACTGTGAGGGTTTATAAAGTGTATCCCCGTGTCTCTCAGCCACTGCACCAGCCACACAGAGCTCCCTGAAGCTTTTAGACCTTACCACAAAGAGTAATTTCAGATGATAGTGAACACACGCCGCTCTTCCGTGCAGCGCGCCGGTTGCTAAAGCATGTGACGTCACGCTGCCCCCGGTTTCTTTTTCGTTTATTCTGGTGACGTCACTTAGAATTGATCTCCAGGTGTTTTACTGCCACCTGCTGTTACCACCACACGGGATCCTGCTCTCTACTACTAATGAACACTTGGATTACATTCAACAAAATTATAAACGCAACACTTTTTCAAGTGGCCTTTTATTGTGGCCAGCCTAAGGCTCACCTGTGCAATACTAATATGCTGTCTGATCTGCATCTTCAGGGCCATGCAGAGGCCTTTGGAAGGGCAGGTGCTCAAAGTATAAAAGGGGCACATGGAACAAGGATTTAAATAGGGCTGTTCTCAAAATATTGATACAGAAATATATCGTTATGTATTCCTTGATTATATGCGTATACAGATGCTTCTGTATCGATACAACAACAAATGCTGTGACACAAAAGAAACACAGGGAATACCCAGATCTAGCTTTAAAACACGGTGGGCTGACATAACTTACAGGGAACAGTTGCTGTTGAGGGGTTGCTGGGGATGCTGCTACTGCTGCTGCTTTTGCTGCTGATACTACTGGAGGTGATCTGTGACTAGAGATATTATAACAAACATAGGAGATATATTAGCTGATGAAACAAATATGTGACCATGACAAGATGTAAAGATTGCTGACAGTATTTGGGACTGGCTTACAGTGACTGACCTGCTGTAGTGCTACAGCTGCTGCCAAGGCTGCCTGCTATGAGAAAATAAGAGGGAGATGCTCACATAGACTGCTGCACACAGAGATCTGCTGTTGTGAGTCTGCAGCTCTACCCCCTGACCCCTTGTGTCCATGTTCTCTCCCCTCCCTGTGTCTCCTGTTAGTCTGTCTCTGTTGTCTGGGCGTGGCTTCTCACTCTGGGCCTGGCACTCCACCTGCACACCTGATCCACATTCCACTAATCAAGACTCAGTATATCAACCCGGTTCTTCACCTCACTCGTTGTCAGATCGTCAGTTTACCTCAGTGGTATTTGCGCTGTGGCTAACTAGCCTTGTAGTTGTTATTCTGTTTGTTATCTCAAGATCACTAACCTTGTCTCCCTGTGCTCAGGATCGCTGCCATACCCCGCTCACTGCCTGCCTGGAAATCCTGCCATTGCCTCACTCAGCCCACCGCCTACCTGGAAATCCTGGCTCTGCCTCACTCAGCTCTCGGCCTGCCTGGAGGTTCACCTGCTGGTCGCCTTTCCCTGGTCTGCCCTCTGCTCTGCTCACACCCCACTTTTCAATAAACTCTGAATTCCTGGACTGAAACCTGCCCTGAGTCTGCTCTTGAGTCCTTTTCCCCTAGTCTGCCATAACATCTGCAGGTAGAGGAAATAAGATACCAGGTTCAAAAAAAGTGTGGGAAATAATCTGGGAAGGAAACAGTACTGGGAGAAAGGATTAGGTTAGCCAAGGCAGGGGTAAGAGTGAGAGAAATCTATAGACTATAGAGGTGTGTGTGTGTGTGGGCAATATTGTGATAATGATTTTATATATTGCATTGTGAATCTGAGATATATTTGGATTTTGATATATATATGAACTATATGTCTAATAATAAATCTAAAAAGATGTGTGTGTGTGTGTGTGTGCGTGTTCATTCTGTTGGCCCGTAATAACCATGACAGAGCAGTATTTCTCTTTCACATTAACATTTCATACCTTTGTCTGAAATCTGTATAGGGCCATTTCTTCTTCACTCTTTGCTTTGATGTCAGGAATATTATTTAATTTATATTGACACTGACATTATTACATGCATTTCATCTTATTTAGATCATATAATAAGTTTGCCATTAAATCTATTCAAATACTGTTGATTTAAATGATCGTTTTAAAAGGGGCTGATAAGTAGGCTATAATTCGGAGGAATAAGTAATAAACCTGTTTACCAATGTTGTTATAATTATTTTAAGGCAGACTACGTTTTTTAAGTTACTGTAATAATCCTAGTTTAAGTGAAAGGTTTTCAGTCAAATTACATTAAAAAAAATACCAGACCTCGCGACGCCCGTGAAACTTTTCTCCCTCAAACAGCAAGAAGGAAGTGAACACAGCATCTTTGTTTATCTGTGTGCAGAAGTAACGTTAGCTGTCGGCACAGTGTTAGTCGGCAGCTAACGTTACTTCTACAGGCGACACACAGCAGTATACAACTACTGTGCTGCTCTCTTTGTGTCTTTCTTGTATAATACATACAACAACACACATTACGGTAAACCCCTCTTCCCGGTGGAATCGCAGGTGTCCTCTAGTCAGAGCTGCTGAATCACTAACGGCGTGTGAACGGGAGGGTTCGTCACGGATGAGGTCATCAGGTGAAAGGTCATAATGTGGGTCAATTTATTTGCTGCGAAATTATTATTAATTCATTTTACTAATAGTTTGATTCGGCAGGCCTTCACAAAAGGACCTTTACAAATTTTAAAATTAATTATTTAATTAAATTTGTCATTGCCAAAAGGGCACTTTGGGCATCAAAGGGCAAGAGCTCAGGCACCCATTGCACCCCCCTCTGCACGTGCATGGGCATCTTGATATGCCACACCTGGGAGGTGGAGGGATTATCTCAGCAAAGGAGAAGTGCTCACTAACACAGATTTTGACGGATTTGTGAACAATATTTAAGAGAAACAGGCCTTTTGTGTACATAGAGAAAGTCTTAGATCGTTGAATTCAGCTCATGCTGAATGGGGGCAAAAACAAAACTGTTGCCATGATAATTTTGTTCAGTAACAGAGTTCTGCTTCTTTTAAGTCAGTTCTGACACCTGTTATAGGCCCCTGCACTATGTTACTTTTTTACTTTTTTATTTGCAAAGTATTGCCAATTTAAAAGAAAGAATAAAATAAAATAATAAAAAACACAATTAGAATATAGTCAATTTAAAATTTATATTTTTTTATGAAATGCAATAAACTCACAAGGTAATAGCTCAAATAAAAATGGCCAAATTTAAGTTTTTACATTTTTGTCAAACTAGGTCGAAAATTAACTTTTAACTTATCAACAGGCATAAGCTAGTTAACTTCACTTATTACATTATATTAATAAAGATGTATAACCAGTGTTGGGAAAGTTACATATAGTAACAGAATAGTAGCCTACCAATTACAAGTTACTCTATTTAAAATGTAATAGTAGCCTAGTGTAACTATTTCAATGACTTCATCAAAGTAAGTAACTTGTTTAATTACGTTTGATTACTTTTCTAAATTTCTAACGAATGTTTTTAACTGTTAAACATTTTCAAAAGACTGTCCCTGCAAAGCATAAGAGGCAGTTTAACCAGAAGGGTGGAGCTGTAAATTCAAACACTAGAACCATAGACTGTATATAAAGACTATAACCAATAAAAAGCATCAGAACAGCATCAAACTATCGGCTGTGGCTGGAAATGGCAAATGAAGACATGCAAAGCATCAATATTAGTTATATTATAATATTAACACATAGCCTAGCTTTTTACAGAAAATATAAGTAATTGTAATTTAATTACACATGTTTTCCCCAGTAACTGTGAAATGAATTACTCCCCAACACTGGATATAGTGCATTTTCTGAACACTTGGATTAAATTAAGATTAACGCTCCATCAACGTGGCGCCAACGCGGAGCCGGTGCTGATGGACACAGCATATTCACTCAGCATGGCTATCACTCAACTAGTCTCAGTAAAAGTTTACTTTTATAGACTTTAAATGCCTATTCAAGATTTGGATCGCTGTTTAAAGTGACGTTTGTCAGCTTGTGTGGTTTCCTCACTGGACAGATGTTGTGGCAGAAGTTTAGGAGGTCGGAGAGCTCCTCAACGGGAGAGAGCTGGCTCGCACAGAGGACTAGACTGGCTCTTCCATGTGGTCTCCAGCCAGGTATAGGTGATCCCCCAAATACTCTCAGGCTTCTCGCCACTGCATGGCAGAGCTCATAGGCCGGTCGACCATATGTAAGGATGGAGAAAGCGAGGCCACACTCCTGCAGGTGGGCAGAGAGGATGACCTGAACCCTCGGGGGGGAATCATACCAGGAGTTGGAGCCCAGGAGAAAGGCTATGCTCTGGCAGGACCTGAGGCTCAAGAGCAGAGAGAACAACCAGGTCACCCTCACCCAGAAGGCCGAGACACTGTTGCAACCTCTAGCAGAAGTAATACAAATGTAGAATAAAAATAAAAAAGCCCACAACTGATACAATCCAAAAATGTTGTAAACTATGAACCCATTCTTTTACAGACCAGTCCTGAAAACAGAATCTGTAACTACACACTAAACTATCTGTGCCCTACTCTGGAGTTTTGTTTTGTGGGTATGCTTTGATGCCAGTTGGATGACATATTTTGGTTTGTGGTCATTTGATAATACTTTAGTGGCACAGCATGGTGTACTTACCAGTAATTTTCAATATGCTTTGTGGTATTCTGGGCTGGGCTACTGCTCATATGGCACATTTTAGGCACTTACAATTCCCTACATAATTTATGACAGATCAGGGTAATAGTTAAAAATTCATTTCAAATTTATTCGTATAGCACCATTTCATAAAACAGTTCAAAGTGCTGTACATGATAATAAAATAATATTACAATGCAAATAATAAAACAAAGAGGCAAACAAAGAGTCAATGATTGTTTACATGATTGCAATATTCTGCAATTAAATCTAAGCAAGGTGTGTGTGTTGGGAGATGTTTGAAATTCAAAGTGGGGAATTTATACTTTATTTTACATGTCAAATATTGTACTCTGCAATACATTTATCTGAACTACAAGTACTAGTTACAAATTATTAAATTATTTTTTACAGATTATGATCGATTGTTATAGACTACAATAACCAAGTGGGTAATCTTTAACCTTGCATCTGTAATCCAGTAATTAACTCTGGAAAGGGTCAAATACTTTCCATTTTTATTTAAACAAACGTTTTGGATGTAGGGCCTATACTTGTAATGCGGTATTTTTACTCTGTGCTATTACTGATTTTTGTAAATAACTGAATACTTTTCGGAGAGTACCACGGCACAGGTTAAAAACAGCCGTGACACATTTATTGCTGCCCTCCTGTGGCCATTACTTCTCCAGGAAACTTGTTGCAGTACTGCACTGGCCAAAGCAGCTAGCAGTTATATAGCTAACATTAGCTAGTCGATATACAGCAGCGGCGCAGAGAAACAACCCGTGTTCTGCCCACATACTAATGACAGGAACACTGAACTTACTAATATGCGCCTGGACATTTACTGATACTTGGCACGCTTGTTCTTCCTATCTTTATCGCCAACTCTCTGTGAAGTTATCTCTGATCTGAAAAGCGCAGTAACTTAACTCTCGGTGAGTTGCCGTGCTAAGTGGGCTTTGGCTATTACCTGGAGTGCCACTAGTACATGAAGTTATAGCTAGCTAACTTTACATGGTAGCTAGTGAATAGCACTGTGTAGCCGTTTATGTCAGCTCAACAATTGGTTTTAAACTGTTAATGCAGCCATGTGTGTGACTTCGAAGAGAGTAAAATATGTTTTTAAAAGCCAACGTTGCTTTCTTATTTTATTTAGCTAAGCTAAGGGAACGTTACAGTGATTAGCGAATTGCGTTAGCTGGCTAATCTTAGCCACCGGTTGGTACACCCAGATAGCGTTAACGTTACCTAGCTACACCAACGCCTTTAGCGGCTAACCCGATGCAAGTTGTGTGTTTTACACGCGTCGCTGTCGGTGAAACGTTTAGTTCGATCTGTAACGTTAAGCCTGTATATCACATGCTAACGGTATCATTTCCACAACATTGTTATGGCTAACGTTTGAACTATGTAATGTTCAGATGCCTCCTCCCACTTAATTTAACAAATATTTCTCGAATGCCCGATTTACACAATGTTAACGTAATGTATCTTCTGCAAACTATTAACCAGCTTCGTCGTTAGCTGTCTCCACTGTTTCTTTACGCAAGTCCGATGATTGCTTAGCGTGTTTTAGTTGCAGGCCTTGGCTTGTATAGGACGACTGTAAGTAGATAGCAGGTTTTCCAGATGTATTCAATTATTGCAGAAAATAACCTTATATCTGTTAATACTGCAACAAGAGTTTTAAGCTGTTGCAAGTCAACCTTGTCTTGACCCTCAGGCTATGGATCCTGAACGACATAAACGAAGAGAGGAAATTCAGAAAGCAATGAGCTTTATCCAGTAAGTACCCAGACCGGTATTACAACAACATAGATGGCCTCATTCACAACTAACTAGCAGTATCATGACCAAGTGCACACAACTTGTGTATGAAGAACAATCACAGCCTTCTTATTCTCCATCTACAGGTCATCGTTGCCTTTCCCAGAGCCAGAGAGTTATGAGGTTTGCATTGATCCTTTTAATCCCATTTTGCTGTGACAACTTTTTTTTATCAGCAATGTGCTCCTATTTTATTTACTCACAGTTTTCACTATGACTATACTCGCAATAAATTCTATTTTCTCCTGGACCTATATATATATATACCAAGACATGGTGGTTTATCTTGTCCTCTATCTTTTCCTCTTGTTTTTCTTGTTCCCCTGTTGTTCTTCACATTCTGTATCTTTCTGACCATCTCATATTGCATTGACCTTTTTTTTGTCCCCCTCAAACCCCTCATGATTCAACACATTATCCTACATGTTCCCCTCAGATGTTTCTCTCCCAGTTGGTATGTAACTTGCTGGATGAGGGCAATTCTTGCTTCCGAGATGAGGACTGGCGTCAGGCGACCCAGCACTATGGGGAGGGGGTCAGTGTTGCCCGCTATGCTCAGGCTGAGGCCCTCGTTATCCCCCATGAGCTGCTGGAGAGCCTCTATGTCAACAGGGCTGCTGCCTACTACCAGACGGTGAGGGAGAAGGGGAAACGGGGGATATGTCATTTGCAGATGTTCATATGGACAAATATAAAACACAGTTGTCAATGTATATTAATTTGACTTATTATAGATAAATTACAGGTAACCCTACAAAGTAGTTTCTAAAATGTTGTAAAACATTTAGAGGGAGTAGTCAGGCACTGTACTTAACTGATTTTGTCTGCCCCCACTTTAGATTTGGGGTGAATTTGCTGTTTTGGTCTTTTTATATATAAAGTTTCATTTTACTTCATAAATAATTTTTGGCTATTTAACAGCATAGTTTCCATTGATTATTTCCCATTTTTTTTGTTCTTATTTGATAGTGACAGGGGAAGAGGTAGACAAGAAACAGAAAGAGAGGATTATCACATGCAACATATGCTGTAACTATCCTCAGCTATTATTTTCCAGTTTGTCTGGGTCGAAGCAAGCAGCAGGGCTAACTGGAAATTTCATCGTCATGAGACTTGGTGTCTGTGATAATGCTGGGGTGAAATACAGGCTTTGAGTCTGTGAACGTAGTGGCTTTGCCAGTTAGACAATTCTAAAAATCTAGTACATTCATTAGCAGGAATACGCTGACTCATTCAATGTCACTAATTTGCGTTCTACAGTGGGGGATTTCTTTGGGATTCAAATGATCTTTTCTTCTAGGGTCACTTTAACTATTTTGCTTTAACTAACTTCCACCTAACACTTTCCAAAGCCTTTCTTACTGTATATCTGTGTTTTATCTGTTTCAGAGGGAGTATGAGCGCGGCGTTCAGGACTGTGACAGTGCGCTGTGCGTGTCAGAAGGCAGTCGCAGGGCATTATACCGCAAAGCACTCTGTCTGAGGGAGTTGGGACGACTGAGAGAGGCCTATGAGTGTGGAACCAAATGTCTCCTCACAGCACCCCATGTATGTCATCAACACTGAAGATATAAACACAGATGACCCTTCCCCCTGAGTTTTAAGATCCAGCTCAAAAGTAAAGATTACTTGTCAAGAGTTTTCGCAGGAAATTAGTAGGTGGAGATGGCAGGTGCTTTAGTTCATGATTACATCAGTGGTATGATTTATTTGTTGACTTCATGTGCTACACTGTGTTCCTGATTATAGTTTGCCTTAAAATTACTAAAAATCCATTGTCCATAGCTTATCTGTAGCTCTTCTTTGTGTGATTTATCTTCCAGGACAGGCAGGCTAGTGACCTGGCCCAGGATCTGGCCAATAAACTGGGCCTGAAGGGCCGTAAAGCTTACGTTAGCCCGCAGACTGAGTCCTCGGCCACAAAAGGGGAGAGTCATGGGGAGACTTCCCCACCCACAGGAGAGGTGGGTGCTGTTGTCGGATTGTAAAGGTACATACTTGGAATGTGGTGAATGAGAGGTTTATCTTTTCTGGGTTTTTTTCTCTTTGTCTTCAGATGTCCTCCAATGGGTTGGAGTCACTGGGTGACATTGGACCAGGTGTGACAACTGGAAAACCTTAAACATTCCTTCTTCCTATCCAGACTCCCATCCGTTCCCCACATTCATTTCCTTATCTCCATTGCTGTTGTCATCCTCCTCAGGGGACCTGTCTAGTGCGCAGTGCATTCCCGCTCCGTTGGCCACACCCATTCCTGTGAGCGATGACCCGGCGACCCCTGTGGTGACCCCATGCACTGACCTGTCGGAGAGCCCCAGCAGCCAGGCCCCTCCTATGCCATACTCCGTCCCTGTGTCGGAACACATGGACGACTGCAGCAGCAGCGTCATCAAGGACGAGCTAGACAGTCTGCTGGAGTGCATCCCCAAAAAAGTCAGTGAGGTGGGTGAAGGACAGATGAGTGAGGGACCTGTATTGTTGTTATTTTCACATTTATTTCAAGTTGGTCTTTTTGTAAATTTTTGCTCACTTAAATTTAGAAATGCCTTTTGTAGTATTCAGCAGGGAGGGACATGTGTGTTTTTAGTAGGCATTACTGTAATTGGTAGGCTCTCGCAATGTTCACCTCTGTCTGTCTGCCGGTCCAGAGTCCAGTCCAGGGTGCTATCCCCACCAACCTTCCTAACACAGCGGTGGGTCTCCGGCCTCCGTACTCCCCAAACCTTCCAGCCCCATCAACCCAGCTTACCTCAGCCTTCTTCAGCTCCTCCATGAGTGAACTACCCCCTCTGGAGCCTTACCCGCCGCTGGCCCAGCGGGACCAGGGCTCCACCCAGGCGCAGGACGCACTGGGAGGGAGCTTCCCCACAGGGGCCACGGATGGAGAAGGGAAGGCGGCAGGAGTAGCCGCTGGCGGGTTGGACTCGTTGTCTGAATACACTCTCCCTGGTGAGCAAAGGGTTAAATGTGTCTCTGTCTAATGTAGGGAAACAGTCTTGTTGGCCTGTTGGTTGAACTGGATAGCGGAGAGAAATAATGTTTGAACATTGTTTGAAACACATGGGATAATGTAAGTACCCATCTCAACAAAATATATAACAGGTCGTCATTTTTTGGTATTTTATTGCGGAAATGTTTCATATTATACCTTTTAATTCTAATTTTCTGCTAAAGTGTCTTTTAGCTCTTCACACAGACCATCTTGGTTACTCAAAAAATATTGTGTTGTACGTGTAACTGAATATTAATTTAATTACATACAAGATCATTACTAGTTTCCCATTTTGACCCAGTGCAATATCTTAGCTTGCTCGTACTTAGTTACCAGAGCACAGTTCCTAGGGAGATGGCCTGAGATTTTTGCCAGCAGCCGACAGTGTGAGTCAGCTCCATTACAAAATGGTGTCTGACATCAGTGTCCTTGTGTCTTGGTCTTTAGGGGGACGAGTGTGTCACAGCTTTATCCCTGGAATGCGCAACCACAGTGCTGCACATGTAGTGAGTAACGTGCACACACAGAGTTCTTTATTACATTTAGCATCATCTCTAGCAGGACAAACTGCTTTTACATGGTACTGTTTTTATGGAAGCCAGTTTTTATGAACTAGAAGCCATTTCAGTCTATGCTGCTAAGCCTTTTTGTCCCCCTCTTCTTCCTCAGAATGGTCCAGCAGGAACCAACCTGTCTCTACTCTCCAGGAATCCTCTGATGGCCACACATGAGTTTCGGCAGGCCTGTCATGCCTGTTACAGCCGAATAGGTTGGTTCAAATCAACAATTCACTTTCTCTTACTATTACTACTACTACTTAGACCAGCGACTCTTTTTTTTTTTTTTTTTTTTTCTTCCTAATTTATTTTTACAGATGTTCAGTGGGATGTTGCGCCATTGTCGTCTCCTTATGTGAAACACCTGAGCAGGGTTTTAAATGTTTCTATCATTGACCAGTAGCAATTGAAACATCATTTACAGAGTGTATCTCACCCTACAACAGTCTTAACTGGGTAATTTAACCTTCTTTCTTCCTCTTGCTCACAGGTCTGCGAGTGATGGACTACAAATATCAGCCAGAAGCAGCACACCGCTGCAAGAGGGATGTGCTGCTGTGCCGCCTTAAAAACACAGATGATCCCACTTGGAAGAGGATTCGGCCCAGGCCGGCACGGAACAACTTTCTAGGGGCATTTGTACTCTGTAAAGGTATGGATAAATTATGACTATTACTTGAATGTGTTTTGAAGGTGGGGAAAAAAGCCCCAACGGCCAAATGGAGTATAGCAAAAAAGTGTTTATATGCTGTTTATCCTTCTCTCTCTCTCTCCCTGGGTCTCACAGAGGTGCAGGAGCGTCAGGAGTGCCAGTATGGGGAGAACTGTACATTTGCTTACTGCCAGGAGGAGATTGACGTGTGGACCCAGGAGAGGAAGGGTGCGCTGAGCCGAGAGCTGCTGTTTGATCCGCTGGGCAGCACAGAGAGACGAGCGCTCAGCGTCACCAGACTGCTGCAGCTTCACATGGGCATGTTCATGTTCCTCTGTGAGGTGAGACCGCAGTCTGTGTGTTTCTTTAGGCCGGCACTTTTGAGACAAGACTTTGGCTTATCTGCATCTTTTCCTCTTACAACAGGAATGTTTTGACAGTAAGCCTCGCATCATCAGCAAGCGCAGCAAAGAAAACTTAGCAGTCTGTTCAAACCTCACAGCTCGACACCCATTCGACGACAACAAGTGAGTGTAGTGGATTTTTTGTGTCTTCATTTTGCTAAAAAAAAGTCTTCAAATTCAGTTTACTTAGGTTTATTAATTGTGGGAAGAAACAGAGTGGATTAAAAGCTGTTACATAAACATGCCTTATTGCCATTGTACAGAATTATCAAGCACCTCTCTCCGCTGCAGGTGCCTGGTGCATGTGGTGAGGTCAGCCAATGTGCGCTACAGTAAAGTGCGTCCCCTGCACCCTCTCTGCCAGTTCGACGTGTGTCGCCACGAGGTTCGCTACGGCTGCCAGCGTGAGGACAGCTGCTCCTTTGCTCACTCCGTCATAGAGCTCAAATGCTGGGTCCTGCAGCAGGACACTGGTGGGTAGAACACATACATCGGCTGTCTTTTCAGTTTGTTGAACATATTGTGATATTGTTCAACGTAGAAGGAAAATATTTAGCTTTTAAATATAATAAAATGTTATCCAGTACATAATGTTGCTTTCTATGATTAACATTAGAGGTCCTCCATATTGGCAATACTGAAATGATGATGATAATGGAATCTTGCCAAATGTATTCGTAAAAAGTTAGTAAACAAGAAGACTGTTTCCATGTTGCTGTTCCCTAATATTTCCTTCAGGTATCACCCATGAAGAGATGGTGCAGGAGTCAAAGAGACACTGGCAAAGGCTAGAGCAGAACGCACAGAAGCAGCAGAAGGTGAGACAGGAAAGGGCACTTGCATGTCTTGCAATGTTTTTTTGTTTGTTGTTTTTCTCACCAGTTAAATATGGTGGTTCTTCCTGGACTGCAGTCGTTGTAACTGCAAATTTCCGGGGTTAGCCCTGGTACAGCAGCGACAGCCATATACGGCTGCGGATACACAGCCAGCCAGTCGGTTCTTTTCACCTGAATAGGAACTTCACCTGTAGACTACGAGTACAGAAGCTTGTGCAATCCAGGTTAAGGCTCCTGTAAACCTCTAACAAAACAGGTGCCTAATACAGCACTGCTTCCAAATGTATACTCACTGAGATATTGTTCTTGCTTACTTCATTTTCCTTGACCACTCAGGCCATGATTGTTTATCCAGCTTCACACAAAATCGAGTAAGTAAGCGAAAACTGATTTCTGTTTCATCATTATTAACTTCTTATTTCTCTCTGTCTGTGTTTCAGCCTATCCATATCCCCCACCCGAGCAGCAGCATACCAGTAGGAGGAATAGGGAGTATGGGGTGTGGGGGCGGAGGGGTAGGGGGAGATGGCATCGGTGGAAGCGGTGTCAGCCCAGTGGGTGGGGTGGGGGTAGGAGGGTTAGGAGCAGGGGCAGGAAGAGGGCGGCCCCTCAACCTGAAAATGAAGTTTGTGTGCGGTCAGTGCTGGAGAGAAGGACAGGTCAACGAGCCGGACAAGAACCTCAAGTACTGTACTGCCAAAGCACGGCACAGGTGAGGCCTCTCTCACACGCATGCGCTGTCATTTGTGTCCCATGAGTCAAAGCAGTACGACACAGCGTGATCTCTTTTCTGATCTGATCTGTAAGGCTGACTGTCCATGTTGCAATCATCTGCTGTCATTATCACACTGGTTGTGGATGAAATGAAACTCTTGGCCGTTGTTGACTTGCTGCTGCTTCCTTGCCGTTCTTATTAGGCTTCAGGTTTCAGGGCTCGACAAGAACGATGGCCAGGGGGCCAGTAAAAAGTAACGTCAGTACTGATGAACTATAAACTCACTGGCCCAATCAGGCCAGTGCAAAAACATTAGTATTTAAAAAAAACGAAAACAAAAAATCACATTGGAAACTCAGCATCCTGCAGTTGTTTTGCACTACTTGGCATGCACTGTTGGCAAATCAAGAGTTGTAGTGACATGACGAGTGGCTGTCAAATGTTATTTCTCTAATCTCAATCAAGTGGCAACCTCTGGGTCTGAAAGTGAAACCATGCAGATGGAATTTAAACTTGCATTCTCTCTAACGGCCAGCAGGGGGTGAGTTCACTGGTTGCGAAAAAGTCTGGTTCCATTAGAAATAATGGTAAAACTAGAACTTTATAGGCGGAAATAGGCGTGGCCTATCCCATGGTATTTGATATGTGCCTTTGTAGGTGGGAGTTCCAAGCTCAAATGTGTTGATCTTGCTTCCCCCTAGAGGCAGAAGTGTGTGTGAAATTTTGCACCTGAGGTACTCTTGAGGCTGTGAACCTACCTTGTGAGTTTCGCTTCCCTAGACGTTACCGTTTAGGCCGCAGTATCAGTTTTATGCACGGAAGGAAAAATTTTTTTTAAAAGAGAAAGATTCCCTGCTCCGCTGGTACTGGGAACTGCAATGCCTTGCATTCACGGGTTCCCAGCCCACTGGGGCTTGGACCCCTAATGAGGCTACTTCTCATCTGAATTATTACCTCAGTACCTTGTCTTGGGGCCAGTAACTTTCATAATGAGTCAGTCTCTAGTTTCACGTTTTCTTCAATACAACATGATGTTCAGTCTGTAAATCTTGGTCCTATTTAGGGGGAAATAGACCAAAAAGCAGTGTGTGCTTTTTGGGCTTGGGCCGGGACTACCTTGTGATTGACATGTCGCTACCGTGGCTACCTGTTAATCAAGATGGAGGCAACTTGTTTCCGCTGCTCTGTGTATTTTTTTTTATTAAATGGCTGTCAGCAGGAGAGAGAGCAAGTCATGTCTGACTCTATTAGTGTGTTTTGTTTTAAAAGTTTTGTTAACCTTTTTATTTTTTATAATTTTAACTGTGATTACATTTTAGTTTTTTTTATATCCAGGATGTAATCAATAAATAATTAAACATGTTAACAGTATAACACATCTTAAAAGACTTTGGTTTTGTTGTAACACTGATAACTTTTGGAGGGAGGGACAGTAAAAATTGTCTTGGGGCCAGTATGTTTCAAACCCACTGACCCGGTGGGGCCAGTTGCAAAAAAGTTTAGCGTTAAACCCTGGGTTTGTTTTTGTCCTTAGCTGGACGAAGGAGCGTCGGGTCCTGCTGGTGAAATCATTTGAGAAGAAGAAGTGGGTTGTTGTTCGGCCTCTGCCCTTCTCCCGTACCTATCCACAGCAATATGATGTGAGTTCCTCCTTTTTCCTGTTGTCCATGTGCACTCCTGAGTAATCATAAGATTACCACATTCTTATTAGAAAGAGTTCCTTTTGAGGTCTAATTAATATATTTTATCCAACTGTAGGAATTGCAACACTAGTTTTCCAACACAGTTAATCATTACCTATAGTTGACATAAACAAAGTGACATTTTCACAATTTAGTGAGGTAAGCGGACTACTCAGATCCAACAGGAAAAGCTGTTAAAGAGTGATGCCAACAACACTTTACTTTGCCTATGTCTCATCCAGATGTGTGTACATGTGATGAAGCAGAAGAAGTGCCACTATATTGGGAACTGCTCATTTGCTCACAGTCTGGAGGAGAGGGACGTCTGGACATACATGAAGAACAACAGCTGTAAGCTCCCGGTTCCATCTCGAACCGCCACTTATTCAGATCGGTGCATTTATAGCTTTTGAATATACAAGTGGTATACAAAAGAGTGGTGGTGTGAGATCTGTACTTCACATGTGTAGATCTGGATTTGTTACTCCTCACATTTTAATTTAATTGGAATAGCTTTGGGTTTGTCATTTTGTTTATATCAGTTAAAAAAAATTAACATGAGTTTGTGATGGGTGTGTTTTTATTTATCTAGGCCTGTTTTTCTATGTCTAATTAGGGCCTCTTGTCTGTGTGTCTCCTTTGTCCCACCACACCAGTCCCATAAAAGCCCATAATCACGTTGATTGAAGTGCCTACCGCACTACACTTGCACTGATTGTTCTGCGTGACACACTGTATTCAAGGTTACGGAGCCTCTCTCTCTCTCTGTCTCTGTCTCTCTCTCCCCTTACCTCGCTCCTCTGCAGTGAGAGACATGCAACAGATGTACGAACTGTGGCTGCAGCTCACCAATCAGAACAGACGCACAGATAGCTCTGCCGTTACCCCGCCCCCAGAGGACAAGCAGGTCACCATAACAGCAGATTACACAGAAAGCATGGTGAGTGGTTACAACACATTAATCAGCGATTAAACCTGCCACCTGTATTTTCACTGGCCTGAGTATCTTGAGTAAGTAACTTGAGTTGTTAAGAAACTACCTAAAGCTTGTTGCTTGCATTGTTACAGTACTTTTTTTTTTTTATATTTATACTTGACTATTAAACCTAAAAGGATACAAATCATAGAAATTCAGAAAAAGAACTTTGAATACAAAATGCTATTTTAAAAAAAAAAAAAAAAAGGGTTGGACACAGTTTACAGTAACTGGCTGCATCTCTATTTGCTGGAGGTGACATGATTGTTAATAAATGTGTGAAAGTTGATCTTTGTTGTTTCAGGGAGGCCGGCGGTTGTCAGACGGGGACGATCTCTGAGTGTTGGCTGTGTGGATAGGGATAGAGGGACAAGCCTGCCATACCAGCCACAACTAAACAGTCTGTCATCCTGCCAGTCTGACCTCCTCTAACATCTAGCCAGCAGTGTGAGAGTAGACTGACACCCAACGAAATGGTTGACGCAACCTATATATATACACACATACACAAACACGTTACACATCACATGATACATAAATCATAGGCACCAATTTACACAAAGAGAAAGCATTGTAAGGACAGAAAATACAGGCCTTGGCTTGAGTATTGTGTTTTAATGTCCTGCTGCAGTTACACACAGCACCTTTAGGTCCCCCCTCAGCAGATTATACCGCAGAAATTCCACAGACATCTAGTTTTGCTCTGACTAAAACAATCATCTAGTATTCCCTAGTGGTCTCTGGACTGAGTGTCTCTTTTTTTTTTTTTTTTTTCTTTAGAAAAATCCTCGTAGCACTGAAACAGCAACAGGTCTTGGGTGGGCGCGCTGGTCGCAGCTCTTAAAATTTAGATTTAGCTTGGTTGTAGTTCAAAACTGAATAGAGTCTCTGCACTCCTACACTTAAAGTTGAAATTTTAACTTTGGAGTGCCAAAAATGCCAAGCCCTCAGTGCTGATGATGGCGCACGAGACGGGGGGGGAAAGGGTTCTTGGTGGACAGTCCTCGTTGAGCTGCGTAACAACCAAATCCTACTCTCCTTCCTTTGTGGGAATATAGTGAGAGGGTCAAAATAACTCTGGAGAATAATGATTTTGAGCGTAATTTTCTTTCCAAGGGGAGTTGTACTTCTTTGTTATATTGTCTGCCATATTGGTAGAATGCTATGAATGTAATGCCTGCACGGGCCTTTAAAACTAGGAAATTAGTCATTTAAAACCATGCTGTGGTCGTGGAATGTATGCAAGTATATTTACATGCTCAAACAAAAAACTTGTGTAACATGGCAGTTTTCCCCTCTTTATTGATATAAAAAGTCCCTTTGATGGTCATTTATGTAATGATACTAACTGTTCCTGCGTGGGACGAGGACAGACACGCACACACATTCACATATTAACCTTGTAGTTGCTGTCAGCCGAAACATCTCAGCTAATCCCCTGTGGCTAAAGTACACATGGTTAGTGGCTCAAAGCAATTGTTGCCAAAGCGACTGAGGTGCTATTCACCTTTACGGACTTTAAACTGTATTGGTGAGCAGCTGACAGCGATGTGAAGCTGGTGTAGGAGGGCTGCAGAGAAGTAACTGCAGCACAGGTGTAGAGGCCTGGCTAGAGCTGCTCTCAGTAATAGATCGGTTCAGACCACTGATGCCCATTTAAAAAATTAAAATGATGACCTCACTTGGACTGAAGCAAAGTGAAAATTCTGACCATGCAGAAGACCTAAGTTGTGAAAAAAACAGTTTTGTAATAGTAAAAAAAAGAGAGATAATTTAAAGCTGTGAAAAGCTGGGAGACGATGTCTAATGAAATAATTGAAGATTATTAAGAATGTATTTTCTATAGTTTATTGTGAGAATATTTAAGAACATTTAAAAGTAAGGGCACTTCTTCAGTTGAACTGGGGTCATCATTTCACTGAAAACCAGTCATGCCCCCACAGCCTTCAAATGGAAACTTGTGTTCCTCATATGCATCCAAATGTTATGTTCCTGACAGCTAACAGTAGCCCCTAAGATGAACCTTTTTCATTAGGGGGAAACCTGCTAGCTTGAGACAGACGCGCCACATATTGTGCCTATAAACAAACACATCAACATGTGACACGAACACACATGCAAAAACGAACAGACACACACACAGAGACACACACACACAGAGACACACACACAGAGACACACAGGCAGGACATCTGTTGCCATCTTATTCCAGCCTTTAATGTGGACGGAGACATGACAGAGGTATGTCTTTAATCAGATACATATACACACATATTAAACATATTTACAAATTATGGTATACTACTAATAATAATTGATAACTTAGCAGTTAAGCTTAATAAATATATAACCTGAAAATTGTATTGATTACATAGAAGAAGTTCTTGTTATTGAGGTATTGCTATATGACATGTAACGCTGAACTAGATGACTATAGTGATTTTTTTTTTTGTTTGTTTTGTTTGTTTTTATGATTCTTTTTTTTAATATATATATATATATATATATTTCCTTCTGTGTGGGTTGTTCCAGACAGGGTTTGTACTGAAGGGGTTGTGTCATAGATTGATTAGAGTTTCAGGCTGAATGTGTGAAAATGGATTACTGAGGGTTGCGTTTCTTACAATTAGAGCAGAGGAGTGAAAATGGAGTAACTCACCCAACATAAGAGGCTCTTTTTTTTGTTAGTTTGTTTTTTGTTTTTTTTTCTTTGCTCACAAGTCCAGCAGCTAAACTAGGATGTACAAAATATGGAAATATTCCTGTTCTGTATTGTGCAGATCAAAACATTTGGAGAAGCTGCATAGTTTTATATCTTAAGTATTCATCTAAAATTTGTCCGAAATGACCTCAGCTTTGTGCATACAACCAACAAATGGCTTCAATTCCCAAAATACAAACATTACACCCAACCAGTACTGAAGAGGGTTACGGTCAATTGGATCCAAATGTTTAAAAGGTGAAAGAAAAGAAGATTGTACCTACTGATGGAAAAGATCATGAAACCACAGGCTATCCTGTGGTTTCATGATCTTTTACATACGGGTGATATATTATATTCCATTTAGCTCAGAAGATAAATAGAAAATATAGAAATGATTGTGACACCAAATGCTGCAGTGTCTTAATAAGCCAGCTATTAAAAACGGACTGCCCACTCAGAATTTAGGACAGAGTTTCCAGGACTAAGCCTAAAATGCAGATCTCGGGTCAGTTTTGCTGGTGACTCTGCAGCAGCTTTGGGAATTGTTGATAATGAGCCCTTGTCTGGAACAGCCCAGGTATTAGCTTCTTTGAGGGATCGTATTACTACTACTCCTAGTATTATGATGAATATGATGACGATAATAATTGCTATCTATTGACTTATTTCTATTTCTTCTCTATATGCTATTGATATATGTATGTTAATTGCAATGTATAACTCTCTTTATATATGTATCCATGTATGAATATAATAATTGACAGTAAATATGCATCTGTGTATGCAGCAGTGCACAGCTCTGTCTGGGAGGCAGTGAGCAGAAAACATCAGCTTCTGATACCAACCGCTGTAGGTTGTCAGTAGTACAGTAGACCTGCTATATATTAATGTTGTCTGAGCTCTGTTTGTAGGCCTTCAGATTGTTTGGGCACTGGCCAAAGAAAAGGGAAAAAAACAAGATGATTACTATTAAAGTTTACAGATCTATACTGTTAACTGTTTCCTCTTTGCAGTGTCTCAGTATTGATCCTACAACAGAGCTCGATGCTCACTGTCTGTACAGTTTTGTTTAAATTGATTCACCAGGCTAAGACAGATCTGGCAACATAAGCATACATAGTAGCCTATATACTCCCGTATAGCGCCTTATTCAATATACTACACCTATAAGATGATTCATACCCCTATTGTATAATCCTGCTTACTATATACAGTATATGATACCTGATACCTATTATAATACTTAGACACCCTTGTAAGGTAATTTAGATAAGAGATGGTGGAGTTGTTTTTTTTTCTGTGGCTGTGGAAGAGTTTGCTGTGGTCAGTAATGTGTTCCCATCTTGTTTTTCAGGGTGTTGTTAGGAGAGTGCCTTACACTCAAATGCTCTTTATCATTCAGTTGTTGTTAGGAGCTGGGATTGAAAATAAACATCAGCCACAAACCAAAGCTTGGGAAATCTTTATTTTGGCTGGTAAACGGCAAAACGTTCATTTTAAAATTCCATGTTTATGTATATTAGCCTGGGACAAGTGGAGAAAAAAATCTCTGCCCATGTTGGAATTCCTGCCTTTTAAAGAGAAGTTTGAAGTAAATTGTTACAGAAAAAATCAGAGCATTTGAGGGGAGGCTCATCTTCCATTGTTGGAGAAAGGCCAACATTGATGATGATGTAACTGACTTGCACAGGAGAAAAAAATACCTGTGCTGTATGTTCTGTGTGTTAAAGGCAGGCAAATAATGACACAAACTGGAGGGGTGGCAGGTTTCTGCTGCTGCATCTTTACACATGACAAATCTCATACAGCCATTTTCACCACATTAGCTAAGATTTTCCATCTTCAACACACTTGGTTTGCACTTCGTGCATCTCCAGTGTATACTGTGTCAGCCTGCTTTACCAAATATGACGTGCTACCATTTAAGTTGAAAATGTTAGGAAACCAGTAGGCTAGGCAGCAGACTTTGACCCTGGTGCCAAAATCACAGTACGACAATAAAACAATCCAAGTTGCACATTGATAACTAATGTCCTCGGATGTGGAAGAAATTTGGGATTGCATTGTTCCATTTTTGTTTATCTTTACGCCTTCCTGGTTTTACAAAGCCCAATCAATACTATGCTGCAATCAGAGCCAGCTAGAGACAACTTTGGAAACTGTAATGCAACCAAGACAACAAAATACTCAAAAGGCTCCTTACATAGTAAGTTGATGATTTTCACCAGGGTGAATCTGTGATACTTAGCATCTTTCTGTTTCACATTCTTTCTGACATAAAAAGCAGTGAATTGTGCTCCGTAAACATGGCTGAAGTTGACTAAAGGATGCTCATACCTAAAATATTTGTTTGTTTGGTGAAAGACGAGAACAATCACTCTTGTCCTTGAAAGGTTTCTTTGCTATCCTTCATGCTTTTACTTTATCTTAATTCGTTTCAAGTTCCTGAAGCTGGATGCAGTACAAGAAACCTCCAACATGTGCAGGCTCTCTCTTTGCCTCTCCTGCCATCATTACAGTATTCACCCTGTGTGTAAGCAGACACGGTTGCATTTTGGTAATTGTCATGTCTGTAGCTGTTTTTGTTTTATTGAAATATCAAAGCCAGAAGGTTGATGGCGACTTATAAATAAAGTTTATTTCTGCTGTAGGCATCAGACCTCATGCTGGATGAAGCACCATTTAAAATGTAATTATTACTTTCATCAAGTTATAGAAAACTGTTTCTTTATGATTTTCTTAAAAGTCACTTCACTTTAAGGTTCTCTTTGCTCGTTCTGACGAGTAGCTTTTGGCTTGATCTAACCCCAGTTTGTGCACCAGTTCTGGTCATTACGGCCTTCTGGAGTTTAAACGACACTTCCCAGCAGTGAAACAAGTTTCTGCTTAAGAAATGTACGTGAAGCACACTGCCCTCCTGAAACAGTTTGTGTCATTTGACAACACACACCTACACAGCCACAAAAAATCTGACTTTATCAGTTTTCAATTGGGTAGAAATTATGAGTTATTTAAATTGTTTTCAACAACTCTGATGAAGAAACCAGGGTTGTAAAGAAGTGGGGGGAAAAAAACAAGGCCTCTTTATTTTTAATGTATTTTTTCATTTTGATGTTTTATGTTTTGTTTTGTCTTGTCTTTTATTCGCCCTGGTTAAAAGTTCATGATCACACAAGTGGACCAAATCTGTTGAAAGCATTTAATAAACAGACTGTTTTAGAAAATAATGTGTTTCCCCATTTTACCTACGTGAACTATTCCCTTTGTTGTCAAAGGACCCTGACATGATGTGTGTGGATGTGAAGGAAGTCGTGGGTACTGGTTAACTCATGACTGAAGAAGGTTCAGTAAATGTGGATGTCATGGGCAGAAACAATAGAACTGAGATAAGCAATGGTCTAAACACTTTCTAGTTTTAAGAAGAGCTTGGAGGGGAGGTAACCTAACGGAAGGGAACTTATAACAGAAATGGCTAATTTTGGAAGATAACCACTTGATTTGTGCAACTCAGACTGCTAAAGCTTCATATTAGGAACTTGACTACTGTTTGAACAGGATTTTGCAGCCTGGCGGCAGAAAGTTGCTCCCAGCCAGCCAGTGCTGGTGGTTGGGGAGTGTTGTGGTCGAGGTCAGGGCCCACGGTCTTCAGAAGTACACAGAACGATATGTCCACATACTTTTGGCCCTATAGTGTAGGTTTTGGTCTATTCTTCTGATATATTCCAGTAGAATGGAATTAATTGCTTATGGTTATTAAAGCATTTTAAAAGTGACCCTGGTATGGGATTAATATTGGTGCATTCTACAAAGAGGTGTTAATATTATTCTGTCTTCCTTTGTTTGTATCCTTATTGAGGCTGAAAAATAAAACACTGAAATCACCTCTCAGTATAATGCAATGTAACAATAATACCTATTCTCTGGCACAGTTATCAGATAATCTTAATATGATTGAACTTCACAGTGACAGGCATTTATTGCAAACCGGTCTGACTGCGTGTCAACTTTGAGGTTAATGAGCTTTTTCACACCTACAATGAATGGTAGCACCTCAGCCTGAGGCTATACAACAACTTAATACCCAATTTCGAAATGAAACGCTGAGGTGTTGTGCATTTTGTTAGCCTTTTTTCCCCTCAGGGGACAAAAGCTAATAAAATCGTGAGCTACACTCAAGCAGGTGTGTCAGTTTTTTGCTGACCGGTGTACCTCCAGGCAAATGAGCTATAATTAATGTAATTATTTCACCTGTGCTCATGCTGCTATGACAAGCCAAAATGTCATACGTGAGAAATACACGTGAGTCACTTTAATACACGTGTATATTATTATACAGTACGGTGCAAATGTTTAATGCAGGCGTGGGGAAAAAATACTGAGTAAGCATGCTTTTAAGAACAGACATGTTAACTGATTATATGTATCAATTAACAAAATGCAAAGTGAATGAAGTGAACACAAGAAAAATCACATCTTAACATCTCCGAGTCTGTCTGGGATTACATGGAGAGAGAATCAACTGAGGGTGCTTAAATCCACAGAAGGACAGTGGGTACTTCTCCGATATGTCTGGGCTTACCTACCTGCTGAGTCCCTTCAAAAATGTATGTGCACGTGTACCTAGAAGAAGTGATGCTGTTTGAAGGCAAAGGGTGGTCAGGTTTTTGTTCTGTTCACTATTAAAGCATTCTTACTCTACAGCATTTTACTACGCCTGCCTAAAACCTTTGCGCAGTAGCCTCCTGTCCTACTTGTCTATTAAAATATTCTATTGATCATTTTAAGAAAAACATTCTAATCCAATTGGGTTTTAATTCGTATTAATTTTAAGTTATTATCTGGTAGCCTATTATGTTTTCCTGCACCCCCCTACAGTATCACTTAAATAATTTTAATTGATTGGTGATATTTGCATAGTGACTTTGCAGCTAGGTGTTTGTAACTTATGATTTTGTAGTTTGTTTATTACCCGCTCCATTACACAACCTCACTACTACACTTTTTTTAAACTTAGGTAATACTGACGCGGCTCCAGATTGGCTGTCACCGCTGTGATGGACACATTTACTGACCAATCGGCGCTCTTTCCGTCGATTGCTGGGGAAGCATGCTGCTGATTGGCTTCATTGGATACAATGGGGCGGACTGCGTTAAGTAACTTGTTGAGAGTGCAAAGTACGTGACCCGTGTACGTTTTGATGTCCCCAACACTTTATATGAGCTGTCAACCACGTGTAAGCCTCAGTCGGCCTCCTGGTTCTTGTGCGGACTTATAATTTTTTTCTAATAGCCATAGCCATTTGCTTTATGTGAGCTGCTGACCAGCTCTGGCACATTTGTGGACCTAATTGCAATTTAAAGGGAAAAATCATGACTACAGAGATCCCGGAGATTTTCAGGGCTATTCTTGAGCACCCATTTACTCTCCCGAGCTTTGATGAGAATGGTAAGTGGCTGTCAGATCAAACAGTGCTTTGTTGGGGTTTTGATTTAAGTTAGCCTTCGTGCAGCTCCGTAAATTAAGAGTTTGTTTTTTATGCAAAGAAGGTAAAATCACTGTTTTTCAACTGTTTCTGAAGGATCTGCAAACAACTGCGTGTTTGTTGTGTAATCCCTGTCAGCTGATCTGGATGGGAACTGGTGCCCGCTGCTGGACTGCAGAGATCTGCAGTCCAGCAGCGGGTTTTAGTTAAAATCCAAACGTTAGCAGGACTCTTGAAATCAGTTTCCCTCAGAAGCTGCGGTCTTTTGACTGTCGCCACAACCCCGAGAGATTGGCTAATGCAGTGACGGGGTCTTAGTAGGGAAATATTAATATTGGGATATAAGACTACATAGGCCTACTGTTGCTGATTTTGATTCCACCTAATAAAAAGGGAGAGTTTTTCCTTGCCACTCGCCAAGTGCTGGCTCATAGTGGGAATTACTGTGTCTCTGTAAATAACAAAGAGTAGACCTGCTCTATATGAAAAGTGCAATGAGATAACTTCTGCTATGAATTTGCGCTATATAAATGAATTGAACTGAATAAAGAGACCAGAGCACCCACTGTGGAAAAGCAAAAAGCATGATTGTCCTTCTCTTTTCGGATTGAGTGAATGGCTTGGGAAAAAGTAAGTGGTGATTTATTTATACCAGCACAGTTACTCTGTGCTGGTATAAACCAGTCTGTGTGGATCTGTGTTTGTCACCTGCTGTCATCTCTCAGAGGTGTGTGAGTGTGAGTGTGAGAGTGAGTGAAGGGAAGGCTGGTGGGCTTTGTAGATTGATGATTCGATCTCTAGATGGCTCTGTTTGGATACATCACAGTCAAGTAATCACATTGAGAGATGTGCTGCTGGCCTCCTTTAACAGGATCTCACAATCTTAGGCTGTTGCGTGTTTTTGTTATAGGAGCTTCTAAAGAACCACAAACTATATAGTTAATGACACGTCAATCCTCATTTATTCAAGGTATTGTGCTACTACATAAATAGAAGTTTTAATCTTAAACCTATGTCTCTCCGACTTTAACTGCACAAGTGTGTGTAAAATGTGAATTGTCATTCAGAAGAAATAAGCTTCCTCTCCATGCCCAGAGGGGATTTATTATAGATTTATAGGCCTATAATTTGGCAATTATGGAATCATAGTACAGTAGTTTTGTGACAAATAGTTTCACTTGTGCTACACAAACAGTTCAGAGATATGTGATTATCTTTATGTCTGTATGTAAACTTTTAGCATAACTTTGGTTGCTTGGCAGGAGTTCCAGATGTAATCATGGGGCTCATGACTCTAAGTGTCTTTGATGGTCATATACAAACGTGAGAGTGAGATTACATTTTTCGATGCAGGGCTCCTTTTATTCCAATAATTAGATTAAAGAATAACATAATGCAGTCAACACACCATGATCGCAGGGTGCATGGTTTGCATGAGGTTAATGTAACAGCAACTGTCAGTAGCTAAATGTGTGGCAACGATATGACACGCTGCAAAACATCATCATACCTAAACGGCAAAATAAGTAATTTGCCTCTAATTCACAAATATGTCTGTTTGAAAGTACCATGAAATACAGTAGAGCCTATGCAATTAGTCACTAGTAACTAAAAAAAAATAGTTAGGCTATCAGTAAGTAGGCCTAATGGAATACTTACTCGTAACTAAAAAGTAATTAGTAGGCCTAGTATATAATCAATTGTCACTAATAACTAATGGATTTTATTAAGTAATAAATAGCACTAGTAGCCTACAGCGAGTAGTAAATTTTTAGGAATAAATGTTATAACAATTTGCCACGTACATAAGTCATGTTCTACATAAACGGTTCACACTCACCCGGGACTCTAATATAGGACTGTATAAAAGTCCTGTTTGTTGGACCCAGCCATCACGTTATTTCTCGCGCTTACCGTAATACGACCGCTAGAGGTCGCAGCCTAACAATAAATGCAAATATGGACCGTAAGGCTGCTGCACAATCAACCTATAGCCTACGACCGAAAACCATTCACCTTTTAATAACTTTTCCGGAAAGGGAAATTACATCTTAAACAGATTTAATGTGCTTTGTGTCACAGGTGTAACACCAAAATGTGTGACCTATCAGATTCTGTGACTACACCCAAACGACGATGTTTTCCTAACCATAACCAAGTACTTTTGGTGCCTAAACCCAACCAAACTGCAAACGCTTCACATCGCCCACAAAGCCTCCGGCGCTTAACTTGCCATTTGGGTCACAGAATCAGATAGGTCACACATTTTGGTGTCACACCTGCCATGCATCATGAAGAGAAATATTTGACTGTAAAAAAATCTTTGCCTTCTGGCATTTAAGTCTTTTTGTGACCTGGTGAAAAATTTAACTAAACACATGTCTGAGGTTTTATGTACGCCTATGTTTGCTTTAAATTGAAAGATGGAGTGTGTTATTGTAAGATTTCAGGGTGAGAGGATGTTTCTGTCTAAAGACTCACACAGATTATGTCAAGGTTGAATAGAAGTAGTTTTCTGCAGGCCTTGTCCTTAGTCTCTGCGCAGTGTCCGTAAACTAAAATAACATTTGCCTGTTTTTTGTAATGGAGACTGCAGCATAGAACTTAACTGTGTATTGATAGGAACTGTGCACATAAGATTTCTTACTTTATTGTAAAAGCTGTACATCATGGTTAATGGTTGATGTCATTTAGTATTCCAAGATAGCAGGTCGTTAACTGTGAGGTTCTTAACTTGACTTAAG